ATCCACACGTTGTCCTTATCTGCACGGCATCTAGTTCTGACCTCCCTTCCTTCTTCCATGTATCTTTCTAGCAGCCAGTGCCACAAAAAATCCTTGCCTGTGCTTCCTGTCCTTTTGTTTGGATTAAGCAGCTATTATTCCCCTTGTTTGAATACCCTTTCATTACTGCAAATTGTTAAACTTGTTGATCCAACCTAGGCAAGGCCCATATCTTCACTGTTGCGCTTTTCAACCTTTCCTCAGCCTAATGACGTGCCTCTCTGCTGGTACATGACCCTGGTAATCTTTTCACTTCCCTGCCTTGGTTTCACATGTAATTCACGGATGCAAACTGGCTTTATATTCATACAATACTGCTTTTAAAGGATTATGCTTACTGAGAGTGTAGAGTTTTCCTTTGTTAAAATAATTCATTAAAGCCCATTATGAAGTTAATGGTGCAGTAAAGCCTAGAATGATTAGAGAACTTGATTTCTGGGTGAAACCATCAGTGAAGAATTTTGACTTGGTTATGATCTGATACACTGCAGATTTTGAAGCTTTTATATATTATGCTGAAATGATTAATTTTGACCTTTTGAACATTTCATGCAATGGATTTTCTAACATGCAGTGAATAAAACCATAGAATAAATTAGTATAAAAAGGTCTCACTTAGGTCAACTACTGTGCATTAGATGGTCAACTTCAAAGCTAGAAGGGCCCTGTACATATATCTTCTAAAGATCTCCAAGAATTATATTACTCAGTCTCTCTTGGCACTTCGTAGTACTGAATCATCCTCATAGAAAGAACAAATTTTTTCTTGAATATAGCTGAAATTTTCCTTGGTGTAACCTGAATGTTGTTACTTGTCCTTTTTTTGTGCCTATACTGATGAACCTAGATATCACTTCTGTGGAGGAGCTGCTTCATCTTTTCTGAATCATGGCCATTCCAGTCATCTCTGAAATTAGCAAGCAATCTTATAATTTCCTTCCTAATTAATTTTCCCTGTTGACAAATATCTAAAGTTATATTATCAAAATCCTCTCATTTCCCCAATCCATACACTACTGACAGACAGATAAATTGCTAAATATTTATCATAAAATTAAGTTTTACTAGCAGACAATTTTGGTCAAAGCTTGAAAGTAAACTGAGTTGTTATCAAAGAGCCCTGCTGAGAGATTGATGCCGCACTGATATCATGGGCTAGTTTAAAATTCAGTTGTTTGCAAAGGAGTCCTGCCATATCCCTTTCCCATCAGCCACTTGTTCCAGTCCCCTTCATTGCACCAGCACGGGCATTCAGGATGTCACCTGGACCCACTGGCTGATCTGAGAGGGGCTCTCCTGTGTCAGCACGGTATGGAGGCATCTCAAGCTGTTTGTACAACTGTACTGATGGACTCAGAGCTCTGTCTCCTTTCTGTGACCCTGGGAGATAGTGAGGGTTAGTATCTCTATGCCAGTTATCCTTATGTGGAGCAGTGGTAATAATGGGAACCAATATCAGTAATGCATTGTGAGATATGCAAATAAAGGTGGCAAGGAAGTGGGAAGTGCTCATATTTATATGGAAACAATTTCTTCTACAGTCTTTACAGACATATGGGAAGACCCAGTCAGTTTATAATCTAAGGGTGATTTAAAAACTTGTATAAAGGGCAGGATGTTATAATTGTATTGATCAGGTTATGAATAATAATAATTTTAGTATATAACATTACATTGTATGCAGTATATAAACTGTATATATACTATATAATATGAATAATATTAAATAGTAAAATACCAAAATAGTAATATAATTAGTCCAGTAAGAGTTTAATATTCTGAAAAAAAAGCATAAATCTATGCTCCTATATCTGTAGGTAGATACACAGGTATTGATATTTGCTGCTAACTGAAAAGCCAAAAATTACTGTTTTCTAATATTTATAATGCTGATTTTCTTACTGTTATTGAGTTTTACCATGTCTTGTTCTTAGTCTGCTTTTCTAGAAATAAAATTTACTTTAGACAGTCTGTGCCTATATACCATTTTTCCTTTGTAACCTCTGGAATAGCTTTCTTCTACCAAAATTAGGGTATCAAGATCTCAAAAATAATTTGCTGATTTGATGATTTGCTTAAAATTATGTTCTAATAATTTGATAATTATCTCAAAGAGCCTTTTTTTCTGTTATCCCGGAGAAAAGGCTCCTTTAAATTTAATTAAAATGGCCAACCAGGAAAAAAGATCCAAAAGAGGGAAAGGTTTCAATGTGAATCTCATCAAAGATCCAGCACAAGAGAAGGGTCTTGTAAATGCTCCAGCAGACTCAACTACAGTTGTTGGACCTGGAGCAACTGCACAAAGCAAATCTTGGGAAAATTTGTTGTTATTCCGTCCATAGAAGTTGGTGGTTCCAATGCTCACATGAAAACAAAAAGGTGATGACTTTTTCTTAATTTAAATTAAAACTTGTCCAGCCTGCAGAATTGTGGAGAAATGCTTGACAAAGCTTGATCTGCAAAGTTTTGAAAACAAGAATATAATTGAAAACAATCAGAGTACCCTCTTAAAAGAGTTTCTGATTTTCAGGAGTTTTACTCATAACTGTAGTTGCAATACCAATATTTTCTATTAGGCAATTTATTTTTAATGTAATTTCAGGAAACTCTTCACTTCTTCTGGTAAAATTCCTGCAGACATCTTTTTCAAAAGATGGAAAAAGTTAAATAGGGCAGAAAAGCCATGATGACCTACTGTTTGAGCACTCTAGTATGGTGGGGTTTTTATTTGTCTCTGTGGTGATTCTGGCACAGCTGTAGTCATGGGAAGAATTAACAGAACAAATTACTGTGATATTTGAGATGACACAGCAGGAGGGTCCCCAGCAAACTGGTGGGACTGGGATGATTCAGGGTGAGTTACTCCAATGCAAAATGGAACAGTTAACTTGTCCTGGGATTTCAACCTAATTTTGCTGTGAGGCAGATCTAGAACACTCACCCAGTTGTGGGCAGTAGCCCTCTACAAAGGCAAAATGTTTTAAATGCCTTGACCCAGGTCTGCCAGAACTCATTTTACCTTTGCCTAAGACTGCTACCACATGAGAATCCTTTAATTATCTACAAAAATTCTGACTGAAGAATCATTCCAACCCACAGGTCAGTCTCATGACTCATGATTACCAAAAGCATTTAGAGAAAGTACAATGTCATCCTGTCCCCTTAAATTATCCTCTCCCTGTGCCTTTGCTATGGGACTAAATCAGTACTACGTAATCATGTTTCAGATTTTTCCAGTCTTCTACTTTCCCTTCCTACTCTGATCTATACACATGAATTTGCATGACCCAGTTCACTGTCACCAAATAACTGTCATCATACTTGAAAGGACTACAGAAATGTTCTTTTCTGTAGTTAAAAAAACCCCAACAAAACAAAACCAAAAAAACCTCTTTCATTTTTAAAGGTCATCCCTGCAGGTCTGAGATTAGAAGCGCAGGGAGCAGGATGTGGATGTACAGAGCTGCTTGTCTTCCACCTCTGGAGCTGCCAGTCCGTCCCCTTCTGCCAGGGCAAATCTTCTCTGCTTGAGAGCACAGCTGCTCCACAGGATGGCTGTTCAATCGACAATGATCTCTAGTTTCAAGTGTGACAGCACCGACCTGCTCGATCTCCATTCAGCTGCAGGTGGGGGCAGCGGAAGAGAAAGGGAGGGAGGGAGAGGGAGGACACTACAACCTACGTGAATAATTGATAGTGCAAGGAAAGGAGAGCAGCTGGGTTCCCTGTCTCCATCTGCTCACCAGCTGGGGATGAGAGATCCTTGCTCAGGTAGGGGATGATCAGCTTAGCTGCTTTTATTCTCGTCTTGCTTGCAATGCCAATTAAAAATATTTTGCATCTAGAAGGAATGGGAGCAAAGATGGGTGGGGGAGGGTTGATCCAGATCTTCTCTGATGCTTGTGTGGTGTTGTGTAATGGATAGAGTTTGGGGCAGTTTCAGCCTCATCAGGGAAAGTGTGTGCTTTTTAAAAGACATTGTGCTATTCTGCATTGAGTAGAGAAGCAGTTGCAGAGAGAGAAATGGAGAGTGGAGGTGGGGGGAGCAGATGTCTGTGTAGGAAATGAAACAAACTGAAAGGATGGAGGGGCATGAGAGAGGGTCTGCCCAGACTCAAAAGGATCCCACCCTGATTATGTCAGTCCTGGACATAAAATGAGGAGTCCAAGTGCACTGCGGGAGATGCTGTCTGTGCACACCCGGTGCTATATTTAGAAGCTGTGTGCATAGATCTGTGGAAACAGCTGAGGTGAGAACATGTGTGTTTCTGTCTGTGGATGCAGCTATGAGTTTGTGTAATATTGAAGTAAAACTTAAAAAAATACAGGTTTTGCCCTGCAGAGTTTACCCTTGAAGGATATTCTGCTGTGTTTATGTGGTACTGCGCCGCTTCTGTAGAGCTGCTGATGTTCTTACCATGACTCAATTAACAGAATTGCAGGGACCAGTTTCTGTGTTACAGCTAATACAGACTTCTACGTGAGCAAGATCAAATGCTAATAAAATGAAACACATTGAAAAAATTGCTAACAGAAACTGGGAAAATTCATAGCAAAAGGTATAGACACCAATTACTGTAATACATATATTAATGTCTCTACAAGGATACCTGAAAGAACAAAAACTTATATGCCAGTCCCTAAACCATGCCATAACTATAAAACACATAATGATCCATGCAAGTATGGACACATATAGGGATTAAAATCTAAGACCGTAAGTACAATGTATTAGTCATATAAGAACACAAGTATTAATAGGAGCTGAATCTACTTACTACAACAGAAGGCTTATAATAGGGAATATTTTTGCATCAACAGGGTAAATAGTAACAATGGCTAGCTTGATTGTAAGTTGAGGAACAGAAAGTGGTCCTGTGATTTGTTTACATGTGATTTATTCATATTGCTATTGCTAAAGGAAGTTAATTAGAACAGTAATTAGGGTATTTAATAATTGTTTGCTGTTTTGCTTATGATGTTGAGGGCTTTGTACACAACTTGAGTTACACTGAAGGTTAGGTAAAGCTGTGAGGCCGCTAAATGAAAGCTGAGTTCAGTGTGGTTTTGTATGTGAACAAAGTTGGCTCTTGTCTGTAGTGGCAAGCTGCCAAAGAACAAGAATGGCAGAAAGACCTGAGCCTCTCTGTATGCTTTGCTTTCACCATGGCCAGGCCTGATAGCGCTGCTGATAATGACCCTGAGATGGGGGAGGGCAGTAGTTACTGCTGGCAGCCCTCTCTAACAGCAAAAAATAATGTCTCTTCCTCCTTCCTAGATGCAACAGAAATGGCAAGCTTGGCTCTTTGCCTTGGTCCAGTCACATCTCTACTCAGAGATTCAGGTGAATGAGTAAGACCTGCTTGTGCAGAGAGCAGCTGTTCTATTCAGTGCCCTGGGTCCATTTAGGAGGCATTTGAGTTGAAGTGAGGATGTATGAATTGGCCCATGCTCCAGCATCAGATCTTCTGGGGAATTACAAGAGGTAGACAAAAGGAAATTGAGTCACCTTGGCTCCATGCAAGTTACTAAAAACAGCAAATGGACCCTTTGTCCATTCAAAGTCATCACCCATCTTGATTCCTTACTCCTTAGAGTCTCTTTGCCCACCCACAGATCCTTGAAGACCCCATAATCATTTCTATCCAGGTCTTTCAAGAGTAGAATTTATAGGAAGCATTAGGATGAAAATGGTGCATTAATACTCAAAACTTTGATATAACTCCTTGCTCTCTGCATTTTTCTTTTTTCCCCCATCTCTATCTGCTAGCTCATATTTTCTGCCTGGTCTGTCTGCATATCGTTTGCACATTTCCTTTACATCTTTTCCTAGCTCTATGGCAAATTCTGTCTCTTGTTCTGTGTTTCCTGATGTCCTCTTCATTAGTTAGAAAAAATCCAGTGTGAGGCTGACATTTGGTGTAAGGTTATAGTTACTGCTTGTATAGGTCTTGATGTAAAGAGAATAAATGGCATCATCCTGTGGAATGAAAGTGAGAAGCATGGAAAAAAATACATGTCCAGAAGAACTCTGTGTTCTCATTTAACACAGGTATATTCATATTCTTTCTATCGCAGACCATGTTCTTATGCTCAGTTTTTTTATCAGGAATGACCATCTGTTGATGAGTCAATCTGTTGATGAGGAAATGTAAATACAATTGGTTAAGGCATTTGTGACCCCTGAGAAATTGAGCTTCCCTACACATTGCATCAATGAACTATTTCATAAGGAGTGCAGAGCCAAATCTCTGTGATACTTGATGTACGTCAGGTCCAAATGACACAGAATTGGATTTAGTGGATACAGCATCTTCCTAGACCTCCATTTAAAAGAATGGCAGTTTGTGGAGAACTGCTTTGATGCTCACTTTCCTCACTGGATACTGAGAGCCTCAAGATGTGATCTTGTTCCACAGCAGAGTTGACCAAGTGAAAGCCCTCTGCTGTCCCCGTCTAACGCTGTGCTTGGGTTACCCTCACAACCTGGAGGGCAGCGTCCTCGGCTCGGCTGTCCCAGCAGCAGCTCCGGCACGCTGTGCGCCATCCGTGGGCTCCCACAGCGGGGGGCTCCAGGGGAACCGCTCTGCCACGGCGGAGGAGGGGCAGAAGCCATCACCCCATCCCCCCTTGTCTCCTCGTCCTCCATCCCTCCTCCTCCTCCTTCCCTCCGTGCTCTCCGGGGCCGCTGTCCGCCGGGCCCGGTGCCAGCCGTGCGGGTCTCTTCCCCCGTCTATCCGGTGAATCCCGGCCCGAGAGGAAGAGGAGGGGTGGGGGCGGGAGCCGCGGCTTCGGAGGGGGCCTGGAGGCAGCCTGTGCCCTTCTTCATGGCGAGGCCGGGGGAGAGCAAGCTCCCGAGGAGGGAACCTGGGAGCTGACTCAGCGGAGCAGTCCAGCATGTTTTCCCGGGAGCACGGCTTCTCTGCCGGAGCCAGCAGAGGGTAGGTACAGGCACCGGGACCGGTGCCGGCGGCAGTGGGGCCTGGGCCCTGCCTGTCCCGCGCAGCCCGGCCACGGGGCAGGGCAGCGGCTGCCGGCGCTGGGATCGCAGTGCTGGAGCAGCAGGAAGGGCCCTCGCGGGTTGGCTGGAAGGGCGGAGAACCGGGGAGGGGGAAGGAGGTGGCCGTGCCCAGCCCGGCAGATCCGGTCTGGCTGTGGGCCCGGCCCTCGCTCCCGCCCTCCGGCTCTCCCGGCCCCGCTCCGGCCGGGGGAGGATGGCCGTGGGGCGGCAGCGGGTGCCCCTTTCCCTGGAAGGAAAGAGGGACGCTCGGCAGGATTTCTGCTGCCGTCCTGGGAGTGGGGGACCTCTCCTATTGGGACTTCTCAGGAGATGGGAGTGCGATTAATTTCCCCCTGGACTTCTCCTTTCTCCTGCCCCGCAAGGAAAACCGCCGGGGAGAGTTCTCCCGCTACCGTCGTTGTGTGTGCACAAAGTCCTGAGCACGGGGCTGCCCACGAGTGGGAGCGGTGCCCTCCACGGGAGCTGCCCAGCAGCCAGAGGGGAGCGCGGGTGGAAGAGAGGTTCCTTGCTGGAAGTCGGAGTCTGTGGGCAGAAAGTTTGTGACCAGCTGAGAGCAAACCACCTCTCATCTGTAGCGGTAGCTTCCTTTTCCTAGTTCTGCTTCAGTAATTCCTTCACTTGAGCTCTAGGAATGTGTAAGCAAATTTCAAAGCTGCACAGGTGTTCTGAGAGTAGGGCTATTCATGTCATGTTTTCAGCTGTCTCCACTGAATAGCTGACAATTGTATGTGGTGAAGCAAATGCACCTCTCTAAGGCAGAAATAAGGGAGTGAAACAGCAGAAGCTGTTGCTCAAGAGAAGTGGTTGCCCAGAGTTTTCCTTATGAGCATTTCAGGCCTGTTCTTGTCTGACATCACCTTCAGTTCTTCTGAATTGCCTGTCCCTTCCAGTGAGGGATTTAAAAAACATATTAGTGTCTCCCTGCAAGAAACTCTTACCAGGCTGGGATACCAGTTATCATACTGACTGTTGTTCCACAGATAGCTGCAAATCGTGTGGTGGTGTTTCTCCTATTGGAAGACTTCCAGATGAGCAGAACTATTTACAACAGCTATACACCTGCTTCCCTGTTAACTTTTAGAAAAACAGTTGTCTGAGGATTTGTGGCACTTGCCTTTTAGAGTGCAACAAATCCCTACTTGCTCTGTTATATTTCTGAAAGCATGTATGAAATTCTGTCCAATTTGTGTTTTTCTTAGAGCAAATACTTGCATCGACTTGGTTATTGAACTGGCTCAGCCACAGCAGATAGCAATGGTTTTGAAAGCTGGGTAGAGAGATCCTATGACTGAAATAGCAGAGGATGCTGCAAGACAGGAATATAAGGCATGAACACAGTTGTAGTGGCGTAGAGATTTCAGAGGTCCTTCTTGCTCCATTTCAGAATTGAGAGTGGAATTTATCAGTGGATCAGCATTTAGTTTGCCTACTTGTAGTACCTACATTTAGACTGCCTGCTTGAAATTATTGTACTTGTTACTGTCACTAACAAAATCCCAGTTTAGCCTTCAGCATTTTCTAGGCCCTCTGCTTTCCCTTATTGCCATTTTCTAGGAATAAAGCTTTAGCAAGTATATATTTGCACATAAATATTCCTCTCCCAATCTGCAGAATTGCCTTCCTTTATCAGAAGGATGATGTTCTTCTTTTCTGTGGTCAAATAGTTTGAAGTTCCAATTTGAAAAGAAGTATGTTCCCTTTTTGTAATACAGTCTAGTGATTTTCATTCCAGAAGTTCAAAGTTCCAGAAATTGAATGTGGACTTTAAAGCGATAATTATAATAGCTTCAAATTTTTGTGATATTTTATAAAAGGTAATATAAAAGATAATATAAAATCTAAGGCATTCTCTTGGGTTTTCAAAGGCCTGTGGAGTATTCGTAATTTGGGATAATTACAGAATTGTGAACATCTCTGAATCTACAGTAAGACTGGTGATTTTGGCATCTACTGGACTCATTTAGGCAATAGAACTGTGCTAGGATTCAATGGTAAAGAACAATTTCTGCCTAAACTTTTCCAGTCAGTCCAAAGTGTTGAGATGAATTTATGGTGAGAGGACAGGGGCAGGACTGGCTGCATTGACCATGTAGGAGCTGCCAGATTTCCATGATGCAGGTGTGTATTTAACTCCTCTGAATGATTCAGCATTCACCTCAGTGACATGCCAAAGAAAACACTAGTATGCAGCAAGGCCCCAGAACATCCAGTTGCACAAAAGGTTCTATTGTTACACTTCTTTCTGAAAATGAGAATTTATCAAATTAAACTCATGCCTTTTTAGGGCTTACAGAACAGAAACTTCAGGTTTTTAAGAGACAGGGAAAATGTACTGCCTTGGACATAAATTTTGCTCATCCCAAGCATTCTTCAAGTAAATGAATACGATTATAAATAAAGCATGTATTAGTATAGTATTAATATTAATTTAAAATACATTTGCCATTGAACTATTTCAATATTTATTTTAGGTTGTCAAGACTAACTCCTACATCTTCCCTCCCAGACATGTTATGGCATTAATTACTAGATGCATTATACAGATCTCTCTCATTTGAATTTCAGGAGAAAATTGTGGGGTGGAAGCATTGTGTTATTTTGTGTTGATGAGCCTATATACAAGTTACATTATGCGATTGGGCCACTAAAATGAATTGTGAATTGTCAGAGAACTGGTGAGCATTAGGATTCTTGGAGCTTTCAAGATTATAGAAATATACAAGAGGGAATGTAGCTACTGCTTTCAAAGCAAGGGTCTGCATGGCCACTCTCTTAGCATGGAAGCAGCAGCAGTCATGCATCTAACAGCTACAGGACAGCAATTCTTGATTGCCTTTTAGGATTATTATATGCCTTGTATGATGATTGTATGGCCAGTGATGAGTGGTGTCTGTCGGGCTCTGTCTTGGGACTGGTGATCTTTAATATCTTTATCAATGATGCCGGCAGTGGGACTGAGTGCACCCTCAGCAGGTTTGCAGATGACACAGAGCTGAGGGGTGTGGTTGACACAACAGAAGAAGGGACCATCCAGAGGGATCTGGACAAGCTTGAGGAGTGGTGGTCCCATGAGAATCTCATGAGGTTCAACAAGTCCAAGTGCACTTGGTTTGGGGCAATCCCAGACATGGGCACAGACTGGGACTTGAACTCACTGAGAGCAGCCCCGTGGAGAAGGACTTGGTGGTTCTGGTAGAGAAAAAGCTGGATATGAGCCTGCAGTGTGTGCTTACAGCCCAGAAAGCCAGACATACCCTGGGCTGTATCACAAGAGGAGGGGCCAGCAGGCTGAGAGAGGTGATTTTCCCTCTCTGCTCTTGCGAGACCACATGTGGTATACTGCATCCAGCTCTGGGGTCCCCAGCACAAGAGAGATATGAACCTGCTGGGGTAGGTCTAGAGGAGGCCACAAAGGTGCTCTGAGGGCTGGAGTTCCTCTCCTACAAATATAGGCTGAGAGAGTTGGGGTTGTTCAGCATGGAAAAAATAATCTAGTACTTAGAAGGGGCTTATTTAAAAGGGAGAGTGACTTTTTACAGGGCAGGTAGTAACAGGACAATGGGGAATGGTTTTAAACTAAAAGAGATTTATATTACATGTTAGGAAGAAGTTCTTTACTCAGAGGATAGCAAGGCACTAGAACAAGTTGCCCAGAGAAGCTGTGGATGCCCCACCCCTGGAAGTGTTCAAGGCCAGGTTGGATGGGGCCCTGAGCAACCTGATGTAGTAGGTGACCTCTGGCAGAGGGGTTGGGACTAGATGATCTTTAAGGTCACTTCCAACCCAAACCATTCTGTGATTCTATGACCACCTAACAATCATATTCATGATTTCATTACAAAGTGGATGAGTCCTGTCTCCTGTAAACCTGCACTTAGTTCCCAGCCCCACCTATGTGGCCTTCACCATGACTTAACCCCAATTGTGACTGCTAGTAAAAACTGTGAGAGGTGTGGAATGTTTATAAAGTAACAGTAGGAGAGGTGCAGCTGGCAGTGAGACTGTCTGTAGTGCTGTGGGCAATATGTCTTCTAAACTACAGTGTAGTGCTTGCTTTTTTTTTTCTTTTCTAGAAAATCTAATAAAGTCCTGCCACTATTTGTACCCACTGCTACTCCAGCAGGGACCATAGTAATAAAATATTTTCCATAGCAGATGTGTGGACAACAGCTCACCTAATCTCCATGCTGGTTGTACCAGCAGTAGTAACACAAATCGGTGCCTCCATCTCTGCAGGATCTTACCGGTTCTGCTCTGGTGCCATCTCTGTTATGCTCCTGTCTTTGAGATTGATACCCAGGCTGTGGCAGCTGGGTATTGGGTATTCGGTGCTGATTTCAGTGGTGGTTCAGGACTACTTTATCCTTTTTAATACAGTTCTGTTTTGACATCTGATTACAAAGCTTCTTGTGAGATGTGTCTTAATTCTGCTCCAAATCCATGATAGAAGAGGAAAAATCATTCAGCACTTCCTTGACAGTTGTGAGGAAAATATTGTATGTGAGCTGAGACAGAGCAGTCAGAAGCCAGAAATTTTTTGCTGTTACATCCAGGATGTTTGAAAGTGGCAAGTGGTAAGTTCAGCCACCTCAGGGATTTTCACAGGTAATGACAGCTTCCTTATAGGCAAGAAATGGCCTGGGGAGAGGAGTAGTATGCAGAGGGCAAAAGAGGCACTGCAGGCAAGCACTGACATCTTGAATTCTCTTAAGAGTTAATTTTTTCTATATTTTTTTCTCTTCTGCCTCTGTCTGTTGCAGGAAGTCTGAGGAGGTGGTGCAGGGTTTTAGTGATGTTATAGACTCTCCCACTGAAGGCTTTCCATGTGTCCTCACTCCTACTGTTCCAAACAAGGTAAAAGCAGTCCATGTTTGGCTCAGGGTTGGTGTATGCTTTGAGTTATGTGTGCAAAAGAATTGTCTGAAATCAAGCTTGTGTGTAGGTATGTCTTACAGCTATAGTTGCCTCCTTCTGTGAGAATCCTAAACTTGCTAATTTGACCAGTTCTTATGCCATACTATCTCAAGTCAATATGACCCATTGAAAGAGAGACATTCCTGATACTGACTGACCAGGTTTCAGGTCAAGCTTTTGCAACACAAGCAGAAGACAATGTGGCCAGTTTTTTTGTCCATGCTACCAATTAAGGAAGAACAATTCCATTATGTCTTCAGCAAGCAAGTAGTTTCTTTGCCAAAATATGGAGGGAGCTGTTGGCTCCTTCAGTATCTGGGTTACCACAGCAGATAATGTTATTTTCTGCAAATGTCAAATTATTTTTCTCTGTTGTCTTTTCCTTTTCACAGACTGCAGACTTGTTTGAGATGATTGAAAAAATGCAGGTAAGGAGAAGTAATTCTGTCAAACTTTGGGATCTGTTTATTTTTTGTAGCAAACAAATAATCAGCTACTATTTGTACTATTGCTTCATTCACAATATCCTTTATTGTGGGTTTACTGAATGTTTAGGGCCTCTAGGCTCAATCTCTTACTCTTCAATGGGATTTCAAAAGCATTTTTCTTTGTTAATTTTTCCAGTCAGCATGATGGAAGCAATAAACACAGGTTATTATAATTCTGTCTGTTCTTTGCAGAAGTGTGATTCTGAGAGAAAATCAAAGTTGCAGTAAGTTATCTCTGGCATCTTCTTCAGGAAACTCTGTTCTGCTGGGTAGCAGATATAATGACAGGTGGTTAATGGGATGTTAACCTAACTGCATTTAGCAAGGTCAGACAGTTTAATAAATAACTACCGTAGGTCCTGTCATTAACTTGTGCAAGAAGGAAGGACTCTGGCTTAAGTCTTACACAGAAATACATGCATTTAGCTGCATATATTTTGTTGTAAACTTAAAACAGGGCAGAGCTGGGTTTTTCCCCCTTCTACCATATCAGGTAAAGAAACAGTAATATGTTATATGTGTTAAATATCTAACAATGAAGTTTTCAAATACTCAGATTATGTGTTCTCAGAGCATCCTTGCAGTTTACCAGTATTTTCCCTGAGAGGTGAACCTTCTTTAAAGTGCTGTGGTTAACATTGACCTAACAGAACACATAGCATGGCACATAACTCCTGACTTTTATTACATACAGGAATTAAACTTATCAAAACCATTTAGCTTATTTTCTGGAATTCGGGTGATCAAATGATGAATATGAGGAAACTGCCAGAATTTAGTGAGACTACAAAGGTGAGGAGGTGGAAGGTAGCAGGAAGATGCTGAATTTAGAGTTATGAGGCTGAAGTACTTTTTGGCAGATGGGAGAGGAGGAATGTGGGAGGGAGGGGCTGAAGGTGTATGTGCCATATATTCATGTGCAGACAGACACAGACCTTGAAACCACTGTACTGACATCCAAACTATGTTTGGGATGCGTTCTCAGTGCTTTAGAGTAGCAAGTCCTGTAAGTGTGCCTGGCTTATTTAACTGCAGGAAAGTAAGCTTGAGCAAGCAGTGCTGCTTTAGTTCAAGCCCATGTTCAAAGGTTGTGACAGTCCTTCCCAGGCCTTTTGAAATATGGATAAGGAAGAGTCACTAGCAGGTGTCCCTCAGTGAAAGACTGGTGCTTAAGATTGTCAGTGTTTCTCAGCTCCCAGTTTACTATATAGAAAGTCTGACTGGATTTGCACCTCTTTAGAGAGATAGCAGGGACCTGATGGGAATCTCCAAGGCATGCAGACTGCCTAATTTTGCATCTATGGTGTTTTCTTAGCTGCCCATTATCAAGACTTTAAAGCTTTTTTTTTTTCTATTTAAGCTTGTTTTGTCACCTAACATGCACTAGGAGAATCAATAACTGCCATTTCAGTATAACGGATTTTTTTGAAAGTTAAGTGTTTTCCAAAAGGAAGAAATATTTTTTCTAATACTTTTTATGATATTTGTTTAGATTTTTACTAATTCTTTATTCTCTTTTGTTTGTTTTTGCTTTCCCTTTCCTTCCATTTGACTGTGACTATCCTTTAGATTTGTTGAATCATTCTTGTAAAGTAAATCTGGGATTTTCCTTAGCAGTCAAAGTGAGTGAATATCACGGCAGCTCCCTACCGGGCTGTGCCCAAGCAGGGTTGCCGGAGCCAGGATAACTCAGCAGGAGCTCGGGCCACCTAAGCAAGCTATAGTGATTTTCAGCTCTTACTGATTATCAGCTCTTAGTGATTTCCGCTCGTAGCTTGCTAGGTGCCGCAGCAGCAGACGCAGGGAGAGAGAGGAGAAGGCCGTGTGGGGCTCTGCAGGATTCTTTATTCTTTATTATGTTCCGCGAAGGTTCCCAGTGACAGCTCTTCTGCTGAACCAGGCAGAATCAGGGGTTTTTATACCCTACAGGGGTTTTGAAAACTGTCCAATACTAAGGGTCAGGGGAAAGTGACCTATGGGCTTACAGAGAGATAAGCAGGGTCCGAAGAAGGAAGAGAGGGGCTGCTAGGGTCCAGTCATGCTGACTTGGCATTTCCTAGCTTTAGGCCTCTGACTGCCAAGGCCTCGCAGGCCCTAGGTCTGCTACAAGTGAAAACCAAAGCAGGAGACTTGAACATTTCTTCTGTAAAATAACAACAAAAAAGCCTCAGGATAGAATTGATTATTGAGTACTTTACCATTGGATTGGAATATAATTGTTGGACTGAAAATTAGGATAGCCATTTCACATTCTGTGTGATAAATTAACATAAAGTTGTGCTCTCTTTTTACACTGAAACTAATCCCAAGATCTGGGAAAGAAGTTTACCTTTTTTTTCTTTCATGTTTTATTTTTGTTTTTCTCTTCAATTTTATTAATAATTTCTTGGAAATAAATAGGCTACTGGCCACTTCATTCTGTGCTTACAGATCTAGTGAAGTCACAGTATACACTCTGTTAAGAACACTTAGCAATATGTTGTTCCTAGATTGCTTTGCAGTGCAGGCATTTGAAAACCAAGTAAATTTTATTTCATCCAATAAGCTCAGATATTTCAGGTCTATTTTTACATAGCCAGTCTTTCACTTGACTACTTTTGTTCACTCTGTCTGTTCTGCATTCTTAAAATTTCTGCATATTCAGTTTTATTTTCTCACAAGTACTTTCATGGGTTTTTTTCTTGTGTCCCCTTTTGTATCCAAGTTGTCTGTTTTGAATTAGTCCCCTCAAGACACTGCTCTTTCCCCATAAAATATGTGTATTATCATAGCGTTGTTATGCCACGTTGGACCCTGACTCTGGGTCTGGACACGTCTTTCTCTGTCATTGATTCTTTCACCCTGCTCAGGCCAGGTGTTTCCCCTATACAAACCTTAGGAATATGAGATTCCTGGGCTGATATAAGTTTCCCAGAGTGGTGCTGTCTCCAGTTAGCTACCCAGGGAAACTGGCAGTGCTGCAAGCCAAACCAGATCAAACTAGAAGGATGTCTCAAGGGGTGGCTGAGACTGCTGCAGTTTATTCCCTTCCCTTTTAATGAATGACAGTGATCATCAAGCAGTTGTTCTTCCCATGCTTTGATGCTTCAACAACTTACGTTGTACGTTTTTTGTGGTCCTGGTTACCCTTTAAAATAAAGCTTTGGACTGTACAGCCCAGGGTTGCATTATTCTTACCTTAAGCTTCACTCTAGAGGAGAGGCTGGTAGATTTAAACTTGTCTTCTGCTTCCAGGCTATCAAGAGCTTCCTTAACAGTGCAGAGTCATGGAATGTGCTGGTACATTCCTTTGCTCTCTGTAGAGGTTCTGATACAGAGCTCCTTTACAGCAGCCCAGAAAGTTTTCCCTCAGGCTTGCTGAGATACTGGTCTCCTACCAGGACCTCCTTTGAAATTGGAAAATTCTTGCAGTTATCAGATCTGCCAAAAATGCCAAGGAAGGAGAGTGAAATATTAGAAGATTGCAGTTTCCCAATCTCCATTTCTGTCCCAGTACTTCCTACAGTTTGTTGTGGAAGTTTGTGGCTGTTTTGTACTTATGTATCTGTCGTGCTTCAGCCCTGTTTTGACAGTGCACAGGACTTTTTGGTAGTGACAGGACTTTCTGTCCCTTTTCCAAATCCCTGTTTCAGAACCTGGTCTTCCTTGTGAACCTCAGCTCAGTAGGTTGACAACTGAAACTGGAGACCACATCAACAAAACACTTTTTAGCACTTACATTCCATGACCTCAACTTTATCACCTTTACAACTTCCCTAAATGCAAAATGGTTACTAACTACTTCTGCAAAAGATAAAGATCACTTGTCAGCCTGTGTTCCATCTTAATTTCACAACTCACCACATCCTGGTAATTAGTTATTAATTTTGTCAATGCTGTGTACTGACAGCACAATTCAAAACATATATTGTAAAGTTTTCCTATGAAGAATGGTTTCAGGCTGGTATTTGTTTAGTCTCTGTTGTTGAAAATACAAAAGGAAAACAATTTTTTTGGGGAGGATGTGTAACTGTCTTGAAACTGAGCTTTTGTAGTTTGATCTTGTGTCACCCTGTAGATAACATGTGAAGCTTCTTTCTTCTAGTAGAGCTAAAGAAAATAATTTGGTTTTTTGTTATCTGCTCATTGTTCCTCGCTCACTTTACTGTGTTCCTATATTTAACCAATTAAAATTTGTTGTTACTGCTACTTCTTGTGATTAAACTTGACTTCAGACTTCTGAAGAATGACCTCCTGCATCTACTACTAGTCTCCCTGACCCCAGAGTATGGACATACTGTTTTACTTCTGATGTTTCTAAGAGTATTTTAAAGGTGTTAAGCATTTGTTGTGTACTCAAGGTCTGGCTCCTCATGATTTCATGAAGGTTTAAATTTTTTTATGACTCCTTCCTAGGTTATTTTAATAAACTTTCTAATTTTCCTAAAACCTTGTTTTTTATGTGAAGTAGATGTGTTGGTGTTTTTCCTTCCTTTTTTTTTTCTTTTGTTGCTCCTGCAAAGAGCATCCTGATTATTATGAATCCTCAGTAGTAAGGTTGCTGTTGCTCAGTGTTAGTGGTACTATGCTAGCAATTTTTGCACTCTGTACAGCTGGAGCATTGCCCAAAACTTTTGTTCCTGAGCTTCCTAAAGTCTCCACTGTAAAGCTCCTCTGCGATTTACCTGTTTCTACCAGAATCAGTTGACAGGCTAGTTCCACTGTAGAATATGTGCATAGGCATGGCTGTTATGAATCCAATCCTTATTTTCACTTAACAAAGTTAAGAGCTGCTTATCCTGTCTGGAATCCCTGATTAGCCATGCCAGTCACTGATGGTAAATAAAAATGTAGTTTCAGCATCATGTTCCAGCATGAGAGTTACAAGATTTAGGTGACAGTAGTTGAATACTCATGTACTGTGTGTAAGAGAAACCTACATTTTAAATCCTGGTCCTCACCTTCCTATCTGATCATGCAAATTCTGCTTCTTACTCTTCTGTCTGTGATGCCCACTTGGACAACTGTTGACCCTCATATCTTCTGCTCTGGGCCTCTACTCAGTCTGTGTTGGGACTCTCCTCACTACAATTGTCCTATTCTTGTGTGCTTCTGCTGCAGAGGTGTAGTGGAAGTGAGCTACTTTGCTGTGGTGAGAAGACAGAGGATGGAATAAACTTAAGGAGGAGATTCAAGTCTGGATGCCAGCTCTTGATTGAGGAGGAAACTAGGCAGCCAGTAGCCTTTTGCCCTATTATTCTAACCCAACTCATAGTCATTCCATTTCCTCTTTTTATTGCTTAGGATAGGAAGGAAGATAGCTAGAATAGATTAGAGAAACAGTTTGGGAGGTTGTTTTTAATATCTGCCAGTTGTCTGCTTTTTAAGAGGTGTTCTTCCAAATCTTCCAAAGTTGCTTAAAATGGTAGATTTTATGGAGAGACAAAATATGCATACTGCGGATATGGAGAAGGACACAGAGGGTAAGTGAAACAGAAATGCTGAAATACAGGATTCACTGTCTGTGACTTTATGTTTCCAGGGGAGTCGTCTGGATGAGCAAAGATGTTCCCTTCCAGCTCCTCTCAAGGTCAGGCAAAGTTGTTGTTGCCTCCTAAATTGCTGAGAATGGCAGATAATTACTGACCTGGCTTGCAGTGTACTTTTGTACTGGAATGAACAGGGAGTCTGCAAACATCCCAAAAACACATGCTTGCCTTTTTTCTTTTTTTTTCCCCTAGTTGCTGCACAAGAGGGTGCTGAAATATGTAGCTGAAATAGAATTAACTTTTCTTTTTTTCTAATTTAAGTGGCTCCTATAAGAGTTTATTATTATTAAAAGTGTTAGTTTTGACTACGTAATTTCTTAAATTTATTCGAGAGCTGCAATAATATTTATGAAACCACATAGCATTTATTTCAGTAGTCGGCTTGATGACTCATAGAGATGCTACTAGAAAGTTGATCTGTTTTGCCCAATATTAAGGCAATAAGAACAGATTCCTATCTTTAAATCCTCAAGTTGAGGATTAAACTCCGCTTCTTCAGTATCAACTCAGGCCTACTAACCTTAAAATCAAACCTGACCTTGACTTTTATCTTGGGATGACCTGTAAAAAAGCCACATCGAGAATTGACACAGCCTTATTCAGAGACAGAGATAGTCAGTGCTCTTTGTGGTGATGGAGAGGGCATGCAGCTGGCATAAATTGGCTGAGATACTGCCTCTGTTCTCTGAGTCACACCTTGGCATTGCTTGGATGCATACCACAGAGCAGCCATGGAGATGACACAGCCTCAGTCTCACTGTAAATAATAGTACTTTTTCTATCATTCCTACTGTCATCCCTGTCAGCAGAAGGACAGCAGTTGTCTGACACTGTGTGGAAGGAAAGGAGAGAGAGTGACACTCCTAACCACATCATGTTTGCCTCTAGTTTGGCTACTTCCTCATTTTGCATGCCTGTATTCCCTGTACTTTGGAGGAGGAGGGTGGGTAGAATCTAACTCCTAAGTTTATTGTTCTCAATGTTCTTTATTAAAATGCTGAGACCTTGGAAATGGAGTCTAACCTTAAGTCCTGAAGTAAAACTCTAAAGGATGACCTAGGGCAGAATAGAAGCTGAGGGTGCAGCTTGCACAGTCATGAGAGCATAACACTTTAAAAGATGTCACATGTTTTTGCTAATGGCCTGTTCTGATTTCAGACAGAAGAGGAGTATATTCCTTATCCCAGCATCCATGAGGTGAGTTAGTACTGCTCTTTCCTCTCCCTATTTGTCCTTGCACTTCATTGGTTTTCCAGCTTATTAGCCTTCCAGCTTACAGATCTGTCAGCTTTAATGCTTTCTGTCCTTCTGAATAGGTATTACAGAAAGGATGGCCATATCCTCTCATTATCCTACCCCAGTTTGGGGGCTACTGGATTGAAGGGACCAGCCACAACCTCTCCAGCTTGAGTCCAACTCTGTCTGATGTACCCTTTTCCTGGAGTGGTAAAGTGAAACTGGAAAGTGACCCTACAGCCAAGCTGTACCGCAAACATTTTCTGGGAAAGGTAAGGGTGACCTTCAGAGCCTTCTTTGCCCACCCACCCACAAGGCTGAAATGTTTCTCAGGCTTTTTCTGGTGGACTTAAAAATGTATGCACTGCTGCTACGTTTCATTTCCTTATGATGCCTTGAACTGATGTAAATGAGGCACATACTAAGATATGGTCTGTAGTGTTTTAAATTTGTTGTGTCCTCTTGTGAAATGTGCATAGAAAGATTTGCACAGGAAATGCTTTTATTTAGTTAAGAAGATCTTTTGAGGCTCCTGTACAGATACCAACCTCGGGATAACAAGTGTTCAAAAGCATAATAGTATTGGAAGTGGAAATGGCATTATTTTTAGAGGGGACTTCAGCACTTCCATTTCCCTCACTGTATGGTCATTAGAGAATGTATATGATGAAACCACACCATGTGTTTTATAGCTGTTGATTTAAGTAAGTTTGGTGCTAAATGTTCCATGAATTTAAAAGTTCCAGTTTGACACATAGGGAAACAGAGCGAGGCCTCATAAAGTGAATGTTTGCTGGCCAGCCATGAAGGTAGGCCTGTTTAGGGAATTGGCTGATTACCAGACTGAATCCCAGGATGATATTATCCATAAAGAACAAGTGAGAAAAACCCATGATCTTTTTTGAGATTTGGTATATGGCATAAGGAGATAAGAAAGCTTGACAAGTATGCTCACACTGCATCTTATTCAGTGGTCTCCCTCAGTGACTGCTGAATTAAGTTCAAAACCAGGAATAGGTGGTACTTTGCACAGTGCTGGGAACCTTTCTGCAGTAGTTATGCTTGTCAGAGTGATCTTCTGTAGTGAATCTTGTTCCACACCACTGGAAAATTATATTAATATGATTTTTAAATAATTAGGGGAAAAAGGAAGCCTTCCTGGAGTCTTCCCCTCAAGACTTAACAGATCTGCTGTGCAATCTGTTAATGGACATTTATCCTGTAACCTTCTGGAAGCTTTCAGTATGCCAACTGTAGTTATTTTTCTGTCATGGTAAATTTAGGGTTGTGCTTGAAGGCTTCCAGAGTCAGACAGGACGAGAGGCAAATTTGAATATGATGTTTTCAGTCCAATTGTAGGATTTACTGCTGACCTGATATCACAAAACAGTTGAGGTTGGAAGGGACCTCTGGAGCTCATCTTGTCCAGACTCCTGCTCAAGCAAGGCCATGTCATCATTTTTCCTTCCAAGTGTGATCCAGGACTTCCTCTGTTGTGGAGCTTTGCATTTGCAAAGTGTCCAACCATTAGTGCCTCTGTACCACAGAAAAACTCTCTCCTATATTCTTCCTTTACTGGTGTCCATTGTTTTATTCTTTGCCTTAACTGACATGAATGTGTGTCCATGTTCAGTTAAACATGCAAGTTTTTGAGCAAGCTGGTGTCAGGAAAGATCTTGTGTCACTGAAAACTCTACCCACGGCTAGAAAACGTTTTCCTCATGGTTTAAAAACTTAGTTAAGGAGAGAGCTCAAAGCTTTTCCACTAGAAGAGTATTTCTTCAGTGCAAAGTTAGCAGTGATTTTGGTGCTGTGTTGGATCTTTTCCTTGTTGGTAACATGGGAAGGTTATTTCAACAATGGCAGGAAAGGTCTCTTTCATGCTTTGAATAACAGCAAACAGTTCTTAGCTGAAGAAGAGTCTGGAAGTATAACATGGTGGGAGAGGCATAGCCAGTGGTTTAGGGAATATCATTTAAGCAAGACAGGAGATAAAAGTATTATGTGGTACTACAAACTTAATGTGCATGTCTGTGTTGTGGATGTGTGTATGTAGATTGCTCAAACCTGAACAATTCTGTGATACGTTTTATAGAATATCTTACAGCAGACCCTATAAAACAACCACCAAAAAAAGTGCTAGAACATTCAAGCCATAGCTCAGTTCCTTTTCCTTGCCTCATGATCTGTATTTTGTATGACAATTACACAGTAAGATTTATTCAGCCTTTAGGATAAAGGCTGTAAAGTCTTATGTCTTATACTTGGAATTATTTTATGTCTATGTTGTTTTTCAAGTCGGTAATAAAGAGAAATAGCCTGAAGCCAGGAAGGATTTAATAAATATGTACATTGTAACTGCCAGTCAAATAAACTTAGGGTCCAGTTTCTCAAGCACTTGAAGCTCTCAGTGCTGAGGGAGGAGCTTTCTTGCTATGTATTCATATGTAATTATGTATTTCTCCTTTATGATGTCCTTTCTTTGTGCTGGTTAAAGTTGCTGCACATGGCATATGTCTTACTAGCTTTATAACTTTTTAGGCAAACTGTCAGCATTCCTTGTGTTTTCTGTTAGTCTTTTCCCTTGGCCCATGGAAGATACTTAATTGTTTTTATAGAGATCTATCTGAAATCCAGAACTACCTTTCAGACTATATTAAATGTTACAGAAACTGCTTCTGTGGCTGAACAAATTTGTACTTAATACATAGGTCATCTTAGCTCCAGGGTATCTTGTCATCACTGACTTGCAATCTTCAGTATCAACTGCAAAAGCTTTTGATGGTTCATCTCTAACTTCAGGACAGCTAACAATAAGGGCTGCTGTCCACTGAAGGAATGTGAGTCTGATGCATATTGCCTATGTGTTTTTACAGAGAAAGAAAATCATAAGGAGTAAATTATAGGTTTATTCATACATACGATTGATCAAATCTCAGTTTAAACCTCAGGCTTACATTCAGGGTCAAGCTGCATAGTCAGAGTGGCTTTTACAAAAATTCAGTTGTTTTAATATCTCCACTAATTCTGGTAGACATTCCCCTGTGAGGACTGCACCCATTTGTGCAGCTCTGCCTAGCTGTGTCAGCTGCAGAGCTGATAGCCCAGTTTCCAAAGCAATTGAGATCCCCCTGTATTGCATCTGCTGGGGTCTGGCTTAGAAGTCTCATCAAAAGGCATCTTAATTTCTGGTCTTTGCAACTCAGTGTTACTTTTAGCCACAGCTAACCTCAGGCTTTGGCTCCTCTTCCTTGCTTTGCCTTCTAGTTCTGATTTTTGTTGGCATTATGCCATCTTTTCTCAGCAACCTGTCTTAGCTATCCAGCCTGGCATTTGACTTCTCTGGCTTAAAGATTTTGATTCTAGACTTCAACTGACCATGGAACATGCTCTTGATTTGTTCCTTGAATCTGTCTGTTCCTCAGCTACTCTGTCTTTCTGCCCTTGGTCACAGTGACTTACTGCACCCAATTCTTGTTCACATCCCAAAAATCCATTAGTATCCTGAAACTCATGGTCAGGAGAAATTAACTGTCCTTTGTGGCTTCCTTTGATTTCAGCTTTTTTTCCCGTGTACTGTCACTGACCAGTGTGACAGATCACAATGCACATCTGTGATTTGAACACTGCAGCTAGAGGCCATATTATTCTGTTTGCCTCTTGGCTGCTCTTAGACTTTACCTTTTTCAGACTGTCTTGTTTGATCAGCCATGGAACCTTCTGTCCAGTATCAGGGCAGTTCTGGGTGTTGGTTTTTTTTCTGTCTCAAAGAGGAGGTGAGGACAATAACATCTTTAATACTTTAAAAAGTTAGATAGCTGCATCTTCACATTATGGTTTAGGGTAGTGACTAAACCATAGTTTTGGTTTAAGTAGTCTTACTATTCCTATTTTTTGTTTCAAAGAGAGGATTGGTTTATGTCTGTTAGCTTCAAGTTGGCTGTGTCCATGTACATATTTCATGAGATGTATCTTTATTTCTGACAGTGAATCAGAACTATGACTTATACAAAAGATTTAGACAGCAAAAGACAATCTTACCAGTGTTTTTAGAGAGGTTTTAATCCATAAGAGCCAGAGCAGACCTTCTAGGCATGTATATATTCTATATATTCTAGGCAAAAGACTGAGGAAGGAACTGACAGACCAGCAACCATTTTTTATCAAATTACGCTTTGCTCCCACTGAATTCTTCACTAATTTATCATGCCTGGAGTATTCCTTTCACAGAACATATTCCAAATCATGCAAGTTTTGACTGTACAGCCGAATACAATTTGCTGTCCCACTTCTGTGTCATGCATGAGGATGCTTTTCCACTAGGATGATGGGAGTGATCAAGGCATTTCTGCACGATTTCACCTTAATGTTATTTTCATTGTGATGGAGGTTTCCATTCACATCCTGTGTCAAAAGGCTTTAACCTCTTGAGATTAGAGATTATATAGCAATATGTATGATACAGCAGTATACAAAATACACGTTGCTGTATCTAGGCCACTGGAACATGGCTGTATAGCCCAGAGAAATGTATGGCCACAGCCACTTACATATAGAGACTGTGAAAATGTTTGCAGTATCTTTCATTGTTTGACTGCATGACTGTTCCAGGCACACTCCACTAAAGCTCAGGCTTTAGTGGCACTGCTGAGACCAGTCTTCATCTGCAAAACCTCTTTGCTTACTGACTGTATCCTTCCTGACATGTGAGCACTCTTGGAGTTCAGCCATTTACCACAAACCCGCCATTGCTCTTTAGATAGAAAATTCCCACAACCACATCCAGCTGAATGCCTGGAAGACACTGCTTAGTCAAGCAGAACCTGAATGGATACAGGGAAAGCCCATGAAGATAGGATTTTATTTACAAGAAACTCAATTTCTTCAAAACGTGTTGTTGAATGTTCTAATACTATTCCTTCTCAGGAGCCCTTGTGATGTTGGACAGGTGAGGAGGAACTCAACTGACTGGATACACTTTGGCTGATATGCTCAGACACTGTTGATCAAGTGGGCTGGAAGACCACATACACACATCTGGAAGCATGCTACTCTTAGTTAAATTAAAAATTAGCTAATCTTGAGCAACAGGTTATATGCAAAAAAAACCCAAACAACTTGGAAAGCTTCTCCTGGCAGTGTTTTGGGGATAATGCATTTTGGTTTCCTGTCTGCAGGAGCACCAGAACTTTTACTCCAGTGACATGTCCTTGGGCTACCTGGTACTTTCTGTGAAATATGAACAGATTGAGAAACAGGAAAACCTACGCCTGTTGCTGAGGTAACAGTGCCTGTTATTGAAGTGTATGCTACTGTGCTGTGTTCTCTTGTCTTACCTTGTGCTCCCTCTGCATAGATGTAGTGTGAGTTTCATGTCTTTCTTCTGGAGTGAAAAGAAACTGCAAAGAAACCTTTGAGCCTTTTTTTCTAGCCTTCTGCTCTTGAGTTGTTCTCAGCAGTTTCCTTAAAGAAGACGATGTGGTGCTTACAGGTGCATCTTTGTAGTACTTGTGTGGAAAATACCTGTCCTTCCCTCAAATAGAAAGTTTTTCTGTTTATTCTGTCTACGTAGAGAGATATGAGTACTCTGTAGTAGAATATGGATTCCCTAAAGGAGGACAGCCTAGCCCAGGCTTTGTACTTGAGATTAAGGCTCCCTTGAAGGTGATCTAGAACATTCCCTGTATTCCCAGGGCAGTCTATGAAGCCATAACCCTTAGAGAGTGTTATGAAGAGAGACATTACCCAGAGAGAGCTGCTGGGTGAGCTACAAGAAGAATAGAGAAGGATCTTGTGTAGGTGAGAGGCCACCACAGAGAAGCTTTTTACTACATTATGGGCTGGGTGCACTCCCAGGAGGCAATGCTACTGGAGCCAAGTGATGTACACTTGCCACTGACAATGATTTGTCCAGGACTGAGGGGAAAAAAAATTATTGCATAGAAATTAGCTACAAGAAAATCACTGGTGGGTTTCCTCCAGTGTCTGCAGGGAATGCTTCAGACTGCCAGCAGTAATCTGGGAATAAAAAGAGAGCCTGTTTGTGAACTGTGCCTGGGAATATTTATCTTCCTATGTGGAAGAGACCAGGGAAGAACAAAAGGATAGTTATTCCTCTATTAAGATATTTTATTGTATGCAGTACTTTTTGTTCAATAGCTTGTTTATAATGGTTTGAAGAGGCTTTTGACAGCCCAATATTTCTTCTTCATTAGAAGTATATTTCTCCTTAAATACACATACAAAGAGGAAGGCAGCTTTCCTCTGTCAGCTTTCTGGAACAATGCTACACCAGTTTCTACCTCCTTTACTTTGCATAGATCTGCTTTTCTAGGCTGTTTCTAACAGACCTTTTAACAATCTTTCAAGCCCTCACTGATCATGGAGATCCCTTATTATTCTGTGTCCATGAACTGTACTTTGACATTTAGATTTCTTTGAAAGAAAATGGTGTGGGGGGGAAGCAAAATACTTCTTCAAGGCAGACAAGAGTGCAAAGGAGCAAAGACACCAAGGCTCCTGTTTTGTTTCCTCTGCTCACCACAACAAGTGATGGGCAGTAAGAATTGAAAATACCTTGCTTTTCCAGTGATTCTATGCACCATGGTTAAAATTAACCCTCTGGAATTAACTGCTTTAACAATACTCTGGAGGAATGGCAACGCTTTCTTTAAAGATCCAGTGTTGCTTGTGTCTCCCTTCAGCCATCAGTTTCTAATGCCTTTTTTGTTCTATGTCAGGACTCGTACTGGCACCAAACATGATCTAATTCCCATTTCCTGTCTGAATGAGTTTCCCAATGCTGTTCAGATGGCAAAGGTGAGGTTCATGCTTGCCTGTTTGTCTTAAGGCCTCATTCTTCAAGTTATTTTCCCCTCTGTCCTCCCATTTCCGTCTTTTTCTACTATTCACCAATACAACTATTATATAGTTCCCTTTTACCCTTCCATTTGCCTTTTCTTCTTTCTCTTCTAATTTTACCTCAGAATTTTTGCCTGAAGGGGCTCCTGTCAGATAATTATATATGGTGCCTATACTGTCAAGCCTGCAACAAGCCAGAACACATGATAATCACACTTATGTTTTCCTGTCTCTCTCGCTCAACAGCTACTGTGTGAGGATGTGAATGTTGAACGCTTCTTTCCTGTCCTGTATCCCAAGGTACAGTGTTCTGATATATGTGTATATCACTTTTCCATCAAGGTCTGGATAATGACATCCAGTTGACAATTTCTGTTTTCATTATCTCAGGCCTCGCAGCTTATTGTTGCATTTGATGAACACGTCATAAGCAATAACTTCAAATTTGGGGTCATCTACCAAAAACCTGGACAGGTAAGACCTATCAGATCCCATGGTACTTGGGGCAAAATGAAAAGAGTCAGTTTTCTTAGCTTAAAGGATGTAATAGCAATGTCTGCACTGTCCAGAAGCAATGGCATGGAGGCAGCAGTGTTTGTGCGGTGCCATGGTTCCCTTTGCATGCTTCTTCCACCCACAATGTCTCTGGCAGTATAGGCTTTGTGGATCTCTGAACCCTAACTCTTAACACTTACGGCAGCTTGGGGCTGAGGCACGGGACCCCAGCACCATGGGGGACTCAGGTCAGAAATGTATTCAAGCACAGATGTTTGTTGGTTGAACTGTCTATAGAAATTACTGCCTATTTTTGTACTCATTGTGCTTCTTACTACTTGTGCTTTCCTTCTGTAGACAACTGAAGAAGAAGTCTTCAGTAACACAGTAGAGAGTCAGGGATTCCTGGAGTTCCTGGATTTCCTTGGTGACAAGATTCAGCTGCAGGATTTCCGTGGGTGCGTACCCAAGGCAGCTGACAAGCCAGATTAAGTTAGGGAACATCATGTGTTCAGAGGCTGTGACTCTGTTACAGCCCAGCTTCCAGAGAAGTGCTGTGTCTTCAGAATCCCAGTGCAGGTGAAGAAGCCCCGAATGCTTTTGTTGGCCATCATGACTGAGAGCTACTTGGAGCTTAGGTCTCTGCTGGTATTTTCATTTAAAGGTCTCCTGGTATCTCAATCTGACCCGCAGCATCAGCAGAGAATAATTTTACTTGGCAGTGCAAATACAAGTTTGTTTCATAGTGGTATGGGGCAATATTATTTCAGGCTCTTTCTGTAAGGGATCTCATCCCTTCTGTAGTTCTAACATATAGCGTGTGTTTCTCAGAAGAATGCAAAAAAAGGTAGCTACTTTGAGGATCCCTGGTTTAACTTCATGGCTTTTAACACGCTGGTATGTTCACCAGCACAAACATGGTGCAGCTTCAGTCATTGCATTGGTTTGGTGAAGACTTGGTGCCTCCCTATCATTGATTTCCTAAAAATCACCTTTAATAGTCCTGATGTAGTAGTCTTACTGATACTGTCTGTCTTCTCTCTGCTCTCTCATTCCTGTACTGCCTGACCTGTGGCATGGTGTGGATTTGCTCAGGTTCCGGGGAGGCTTGGATGTTACTAGAGGTCAAACAGGCACCGAGTCAGTCTATACAAATTTCCGGGGGAAGGAGATCATGTTTCATGTGTCCACAAAGCTGCCCTTCACAGAGGGAGATTCCCAGCAGGTATCAAAAGGATGAATAAGGGTTACAACAGCGTGGCTGGGAGAGGAGGGGTATTTGAAGGACTGCATAGAGGGGACAATGATTGACTCTATAATGTTGGGAATTATGGCTGGAGTAATGGCAAAAGTAGTGATGAGGGGTTTGTTGAACAGATGGGTTTGAGATGTTAGGCAGACTGATGTTTGAGGTCCCATCACACTGTTCCACTCTTTTTCACCTGCCTTCTCTCCTCATTATTTATTTCCTCTCCAGCTTCAGCGGAAGCGTCACATTGGGAATGATATTGTAGCCATCATTTTCCAGGATGAAAGCACACCTTTTGTCCCTGATATGATTGCTTCTAATTTCCTACATGCTTATGTGGTAGTTCAGCTCACTCGTAGCACCACTGGGGACACTCTCTACAAGGTAACCAGGATCAATAGATTAACCTGTATTGATTTTGATCCTTGAAGTGGAAACGGGTTCTTGGGCCTTTGGGAGAGGTGCAGATTCAGCCAGATGTCATCCTCATTTCTTGAGTATCTATACCTGAAAGCTGAGTTAAGTTGTATGCTTTTCTAAGTAGCTGATTAATTTCTGAAGCTTAAAGCTTTGGAATTGAAGCAGAAAGAATTCAGGTAAAAAAATTTGTTGATATCACAGAGCATGAGCCACAATTGATCACGCTTTGGGGGTTGTCTCGCTTGCATTGTGTCAGTCAGGTAAAATTCATGTCTGCATTGCCCATGCTGCACAGCAAAGTGCTTGCAACTTGCACTGCTTGAGGCTGCTAGTCAGATACAGCTGCTTGACCTAACTATGGAATCCAAGCCAGCTACACCTGCTTTTGGGGATTCCAGAGCTGGTGCCTATCTGGCAGAGATGTGTTACCTGTTAGGGCCTTCCAGCTGAAAGAAGCCCTGCTAGAGCCCAGATTAATTATCTGCGGCCTTTGGACACAGCTCATTCTCTCTCACACTGTATGGATATCTGTATAACTTTATGTTCAACTTTCAGTGATGCTGAGAGAGCAGAAAATACAAAGAAACTTGGATTTATGATGGATTCTCCATTGTAGAAACATTTTAATCTCAAGTGCCATGTGTTGTATTATGTAGGGATTTTGATATGGTGATGATGAGTCCTTATGTCTAGGAGGTCTACAGGAACACCAAGAATATCATAATTAGGACAGTATCCCCATCTCCTCTTCCACCAAGAGGGTGTTGGTGGTGGAGCTACCATCTTCCCTTGTTCCCTATGCTTTGGGCAGCAAAGCTTTCACTAGAAACCAGCTGGGGTTCCAGTTCTCTTGCTCTGTTTTGTAGGCCACAAAAATTCACTGGACTTTTTAATGACAAGAAAAGAGCTGGGAAAACTTGCTACTTGTTGTGTGTCCTCCTGCCATTGTTTTCATCTTTGCCTGTCTGCAGTAACTTTTTTGTTGTTTTTGTTGTTGTTAGTGTAATAGGGCTGCTTCATTCCATGAAGAAGAAATTATCCCAGTAATCACCCTTGAGCCAATGCAGTTTTCTGTAAAGGCTTTAGTTCTAAAGGGGCTTTAACTGATGCTGCCTTGAGAGCACTGTAGTATGCAAAAGACTGCCATTTGAAAGATTTCTTTGCCATCCCTTGTTCCATTTACTTAAGCTTTAGTGCCTCCTGTTAAAGTGGAGTATTAATGGAATTTATTTCACAGAATCAATTTTTACAATCAGAAAACTAAAAATGCAAAGCAGGATTTAAACGGGTAGATATCTATTAGGAGAGAGATGGAGGCTTTGTAATTAGTGGAGATGGCCTAAATATGAGAAATCTGAATTTAATCAAAAGCCCATTTCCTTCTTCCTTTCATTAAACTCACACCTCTCAGTGGCTCTGTGACATTTATTTGTTGTTTTGAGGCGGTTGTGGTTGTTATGACATTGTTCCCTTTTGTATGAAAGGACAAATAATGGTCTTGTTTCAGCTCAATCATGACAAAAAAAAAAAAACCCTTGTGAAATATTGTGAAGTACTGTATGTATTTGGTAAGATAGCTACATATAATTATTGGTAAGTGCTGTGAAGAAACAAGTGACCATGTAAAAACTGGGCTGCATTACGGTTACTTTACACATTGGTATGTCAGGTAGGAGCATGCTAAAACAAATGAAACCTATCTCTTACTGGGAAAATGCATTTGCATGTTTTCCACCTGTGACTCCCAGAGGCAGTGGCACTGAGATATTCCCCTCAGTGTGCAGCATGTCTCCCCCAAGGATTCTCTGTAAAAAAAAACAGGTCAGAACAACCACACTGACAAAAGTTCTTTAGTGGAGGTTGATCTTGTGGGCTGAATAGGAGCATTTTTTTGTTCCTAAATATACTGGTTATACTAGTTATTATTTAAAATATTTTTTTAAAAAGCAGTCAGTTCAGCTTTTTTTTATTGCTCTTGCTGTGTGCACATGTAGCTGGCTGAGTTTCTGAGAGATAAATGAGCACATCCATCCACTGAGTTCAGGAACAGAGGGATGCACAGGACACTGTATTACATCTCTTTTTTATAAGTAAATTATTTAGGAGGAATCAGATCTATTGTAGTAGTTTGATGGTCTCACTTGTGTTCTGATATTCATTTTTTTCCCCTTACATTATTTCAGGTTTCAGTCACAGCCCGAGATGATGTCCCCTTCTTTGGACCGCCACTGCCAAATCCAGCCATATTTAAAAAGGTTTGTTTCTCTGGTCCAGTGTTAGTTGGCAGGAAACGTGGTGCACACACTTGTGTTCTGAGTCAGTATTATCAGTCTGGCTAGAGCACTTTGGAGGTCCAAAGAGTAGGAGGCAGAGTTTTTATAATGTGATATTTTTGCTAGTGTTTTCATCTCCAGTTTAGTCTAGTCTTCATCTTGTCTTGTAGAGTGCAGAGTTTCGTGAATTCCTTCTGGTCAAGCTCATCAACGCCGAGTACAGCTGCTATCGAGCTGAGAGATTTGCTAAATTAGAGGTGGGTCTGTTATCTGGCTGACTCAATGAAATATAATAATTATATATATATAATAAATATATTATTATCACACAAAGAGAATAAAGCAAAATTTCTGACTTCTAGTTTTGTGTTGCTTAAGAAAGGAAGATGAAATGTGATTTTATACTCAGTTATGGGATATTTCCTTCACATTTCTTAGTAGGTGTGATAGAATATGAACAGGTAAATTTTAATATAAAAATCTAATCCTCAAGTAAGGATGGAAATATGATGCATATACTTTGCTGGAGGAAATTCTGTATTAGCTGAAATTCAGTATTATGCTAGAGGATGCATGCTGATATCACTGATTTTTGGTTTAAGGTACCAAAATTCTGTTCCAGACTCTGCTGTTGCCTGATCTAGAAAAAAGCCATGTCTCTGTTTCATCAGCAGTAAAGAAGTGTCCTTTATGACTTGCTTTAGACAGAGTTTGAAGGGGCTGGGTGTTACTGCAATATATACTGTAACTATGCAGTTAAAACTACTTCATACTGTTTAAAATTATTTTCATGGGTTTTTGTTCTCATTGTTGGTCTTTTGGAGTTTTTTTTTGTTTGTTGGGGTTTTTTTTTAAGAAGGATGTGAGACATTGAAAAAACAAGAAAAAATCTCTCTGCTCCCAATAAAAACTGTTCTGATTCCCAATGTTGATGCAGGAAAGAACTCGGAGTGCCCTCTTGGAGAGCCTTTTTGAGGAGCTGCAGCTTCGCAGCCGCAGTATGATGGGATTACCTGTAGGGGAGGATGATAAGATAGAGAATGGCAGTGGTGGCTTCCTCGAGAACTTCAAGGTGAGCCTTTCTACAAACCTACAGTGTGGTCTAAATTCCATACTGGCCCTTAGAAGCCAAACTCTTTATGCTTTGTGTTGGTGTGTCAAGTGTCAGATATGATTTTATTCCATGACTTACAGAAGAAGGAGTCAGTGTTTGCAAGAGGAATTGTAATAACTAGGAGCAAGGGGCTTTCATTTCCTGCAGCAGACCTCTTTCAATTAATTTTCATTATAGCCGAAAGAATTGCAGGAGCCACTGCAAAAGTTTCTAACTTGTCTCTGAGTGTACTGTCTAGAAAAACTGGAGCTTTCTTTACCCTCTAAAAGCCCGAGTTAATTTGCCTTTTTCAGTGTAGATGGCATGTTAGGAGGTTTTTATTGTTGATGTTTTAAAAATAAACCAGGTGACCGAACTTTCTTTTAGAAGTGATGAAGATAATTGATATGAGAAAGCAAAGGTTTTGTATGAATGGGCAAACTGAGTTTTGAACTGGTTATACAGAGAGAATCTTTACTGCTTTACTATTCTGTCTACTTGGCCTTTCCCACTTAACGTGGGAAGTGCCTTGCCACTTCTTTTATATAAAAAGTTATGTCTCTGGAAAGAGAGATGTGTTATAAATAGCATTTCTTCAGATGATTTTATGGCTTTGTATGTTCGGTCAATTAGAGTTACTAAGGTCTGTAAAACTGACCTGTTCACAAATATGTTTGGTAGCTGTGTGCGTAGCTTTGGTCAGGTCTGGGATACTTTGGTGAGGGTTTGTTTTTTTTACATACAAACTGCCTCTGTTGCTAACCATGAATTTTAACCTATCCACATCTTCCACTAATTCTCCCAAAATGTCCTTTTATGACTTCTGGCAGATGCTGGGATTTGCACATCATGTATACAGATGACATTTGTAAAAGGCTGGAAAAGGCTGAGTTAATTCAGAAAATGGCTTTTTTAAATGCTGCAGATTTTTATATGGCTGCTTTCCCATTGAAACCAGAACTCAAGTTCATATGAGACTGAACCTTACAGTCTTGAACAGGAGTTTGATTTTTTGTTTTATAGCCTGTACTGGATAGGACTGCTCCAGATGATGCTGTTTAATCCAGTGTGCTGGGATACTGGTAGGAAACCTCTATTCATTGCAATAGGAGAAGAGAAGTGAAACTAGAGAATATACTTGATGAAGAGCTCTTCCCAGAGCTCTATGAATCAGCTAGAACCAATCTAAGGTGCTGACTTCTAGGAATTAGGATCTGTGTGGTTCTGGTGTCAGTCTGTCACAACTTCCCACTCAATCTGTGGTGCTTCTCACACTACCCTACCGTGTGCATGTCTATATGTGTATATCTGTGTTTGTCTGTTTCCCTGCCTCCCTCCTGTTCAGCGGGTGATCAGAGGCCGCAGCCAGAGCCTGGATACCATGGGGATATCCATGAGAAAGCAGCAGCCAGCCACCCTGCCCAGCCGCCCAGCTACAGCTGGCCTTGCCCTCAGCCAGAGTGTCGCCGAGGGCCCTAAGGCCATTGCTGCGGTAAGGTATTCGGGTGGGCTGTAAGAAGAGAACCCGGCATACCTTTGTATTTTGTAACCACTCATACATTTCCTTTCCCTATTAGTTTGTCCTCTTGTCCCACTGTGAATCTTTTTGTTGTATCATCCCATTTCACAAGTGGTGACAGTGTGTGTTGCAGTCTGTTTTGTCTGTGCCCATCTCTAGCCCCAGTTCATGTGTAAACTAGAGCTGAGATTGATGCAGACTGGGAGAAGAAAGCCAAACATGATTCTACATCAGACATCTATCTCTGATATCCTGGATTAGATTCTGTATGGTGCCATGTGTTAAAAAATGCATGCACTGTGGTTTGGCTAGAATGGTACTGTATTGTCATATGGCAAGGCCTGAGAACATAAGGACACTAGAACTGTTTCATTTTCTTTGATATCATCAATCAGACTATTTTCTGTAATATAAACAGGTGCACAAGGTATTCCAGGTGCTGTTTTGCTGTAAATAGAATTTGCATGTTGGGAACAAAGAGCAGAATTAATAAAGTTTGGGGTGAGAAAAAGAATTAATATTTCTAGTCACTGTCAAAACTTTTCTTATTTGATAGGGATACTAAATATATGTGACCAATGAATTAAAAATCTGTCACAAATCTTTCCAGAAAAGGATCCATGTTTCTGATACTGAAAATATGATTGCCTTGGCCAAAGTGCATCCAGCTGGTTGTGGTCTCTGCACTAGTGATGTCAATACAGGCAAACTACAAAAAAACCCCATCTCTGAGTAAGCCAAGAAGGTGCCCTTCAGAGTGAAGATTTCTTGGTGACAGTTTACTTGGTTGTATGCATTCCTTATGTCAATACAACAAAGTCACAGCATACTAATGACTTGGGTTTGCTGCCTCCTTTGCTCCTTTAACTTCTGGTTTTCTTTGTCTTTCTGGTTCTGCCTCTCCTCTCACCATATGGGGATACCTCCCTTCCCAAGCCTGTTTCTCTGTATACTGGCTGTGTTCTGCCTTTGTTTCTTTATAACTCTGTCCCTTTCTCACACCACCTTTGTAAGCCCTGGCTGCTTTTGCTCGCTGACAGAAAGTACTCCTTGCACAGGTGGAGCTGAGCTCTTGTATTGCAGTAAAGGAGAGGATCTGGACCTACATTGCAAACTCTTCTCCTGTGGTTGCAGCTCTGCACAGCTTTTCCTGTCTTGTTCCTCTCCTTTCTGTCATGCTTTCCTTTTTTCTAGTCTTTTGCCTTGCCTGGTAGGAGTCCATCACGTCCTCGAGCCAGTCGCTTCCAGGGGAGACGGAGTAGTGCCATTGGCATTGAAAACATACAGGAGGAAAAGAGGTATGAGCTGTGGGGAGACAAGACAAAGAGGGTAAAAATAAAAACGAGGAGGTGAGAAAAGGAACATAGAAAGGCACATATAGGCAGAGGGGGAACCATCAGGAATGAGAACTAAAACAGAAATGGTTGGAATGGGAAGAAAAGGGACTGATTATCGACTGATGGAGAAATGGACAAATAACAGAAACAGACAAAATAAAAGAGGGTATTTGGAATTAAAGAGAATCAGTATTTGAGTAAGAATGGAGGAAATAGGTGGAGGAACATTGTAAGATCACTTAAATATTGTGCAATATTACCCAGCACTCTTGAGTTTCCTGCTCTTCACTCACCACGTTCAGAAGAGAGTCAGATGAAAGGCTGGTATTTAGGAAGGGGATACTTGATTGTTTGTTTGTTTTCATGTTAAAATATTCAAATAGGCAAAACTTCTGCTAACTTACAGAATTTATTTAAAAAAGCTTCAAGTCCAAATGACTAGTGTTTAAGTTAGATAATCTGAGAAATAATTATAATTAAAGGATAATATACTGCTTCAAGGAGTGATTTGTCATGTTTGACAGAATTATAACCATTCAAAAGTTGTCTACTGGTCACAATAAATTATTTACTTAAATGATAAATTTCTCTCAGCACTAGCTGAGACATCATTTTAAGATTATACAGAGTCTCAAAAGTCATGTGAATGCTCTGCATCTAATGTGCAGTTTTCCCAGTTGCAAGAATTCCAGAAAATAGCTTAAAGACTGGGTGCAAAAGAGGGAAAGTCATCTCTAAAGTGGAAACTAGTTATTTTAGGAGGAAACTACTGCATTTTCCCTTCTTTCTTAATGAGGTGCCTATGACCTAATCTGAATAAAAATAGAACTTTTGAGAAAAATTAAATCTGCAGAGACAACTGCCCTGTAGCAGTCTAAGCTAGCACAGTAGCCACAGCTTCTCTCTACTTTAAATACTATTGTACCTTAGGCAGCTGTGTCCTTCAGTCCATTACTTTGTGTACAGCAACTGTTTCTATCCCCTTGAAGGATCTGTAAAACTTTCCTACTACAAGGAAAACCTCTGGATTTATTTTCTTTTTTTCCCCTGCTCTTTGCTTAGAGATACCTGATGAACTAATTGGCTTATTTAGCTTTCCTTTTGCTTACTTGTAAACTTAGATGTGAGGAACAGGGAGCCTTAGTTTGTTTTTTCTGAAAGACTTTTTGAGTCATTCTTGAAGGTGCAGATTCACTAGTGACTGCTCTAGCAGTTCATTGTTATTGAAAGCAGATGTGATACTTCCCTTCTGTCCCTTTCATCTACCCAATCCTGTCTATTCCTTGTGATGATTGCTCAAATCCCTAGTGGGCCTTTCATGGAACTGATTCAGCCCATTAATCAAATAGAAAAAGTATCAACTTTCTTTCACTGGATTGTCTGCCAGGTTCTGCCATGAACTGGCTCATGGAGAAGTCTGATGGGTACCAGGACTGGTGGAAAGTGCACTCAGCAAGAATGAAGGAGGCTGGAGCATGCTCTCTTTCTGGGAACAGTGAGCTCAAAGTGTCACGTGTGACTTCACCCTGAAGCTGTAATTTAAACATATGGAGGCTTTGCTGACAGAGTTGACCCAGTCCATCCCCCTTGTTAGCTTGTTGTAGGAGTTTCAGGGTTGCTTTAATTTTAGAATTACTTTTTGTTAGGGTACTTTCCAGTCTCACAAACAATTTTATTAGCATAACTGAGGGTATCAGAAACTTTTATGTGAGGGGCACAGGTAGGGTCAACTGACCAAGAGAGCAGAGGAAGAACTTTGTGACAAGCTCCATCACTGAAGCTCTAAGAAATCCCCCGAAATCCCTTAGTTTTCCTTTCTTTAATTAAATGTACCTCTCATTTCAGTTACTCACACAGACAACTTTCTTCAGTGGTATCTTGACAAGTCCTAGTAGCACTAACACTTTTGTAGCCATCATATTTATGCTCGCTATTAAATTCTGTAGCTTCTGAAGACCAGTGGAATGGGGAGGATAGAGGATAAAGTTAAAAAATAATGGTGAATACTGAAATTAATTCAGGCCTTTATATAAATTCAAAAGGAGCTTAAAGTTGGCCATTTCCAGATGTTACATGTCACATCTAAGGAGTCTGCCCTTTTCAGCACAGCTGTGTTTGCTTCCCTTTTACGTGTATAGAGGAGATACAGCTTTCTACAGTGTCTTGTACGGAGTGTTAGAATAGATGGTAGTTAACTCTGGCCCTGGGGTATAGCTGGTTTCTCTTTTCTCCCAGCAGAGACACCACAGAGAGGATACAAAGAGTGTTGGACAGTCCGGGAACTTTCTTTGACCTGAAGTCTGATGGATCATCTAGTCCCAGCTCTCCAGAGTTCCCCAGCAGGAAGAGCAAGTGAGTTGAAAATAAATTTTAGTATTTGAAAGATGCTCACTGTCTCTGGTATTGGCTTAAGTGTGGTGCATGTCTTGCTCTGTTGGAGGCTTTACTGAAATTGTCCACATCAGGCATTGTAGCATCTCAAAGGATGTCTGTCTGTGGCACAGTAATTCAGAGCCTGTCAGGAACTTGGCTTTCTTAAACAGACCGTGATGAAAAATTGGACCACTTGATTTTGGTTATATCTTTACTGTAATGTGAGCTTGCATCCAACAGGATACACAAAATTCTAGCTGTCCAATTATCCATGTTTACTTATATGTATGCTTCTTCTATAGTTTGCTCTGGAGTGATTTTGGAGCTTCATGGAGAAGCTTGGACAAGGGTATGTTGGGATGTTGGGCTGTACTCAAGTTCTGCCCCTTTAAGCAGGATTCATGCCGCTGCTCCCAACCAGTGTGAACTAACCCGTCTCCAGTCTCCCCAAAATGTTACAGCAGGATTCCAGCACGGTCCCATGTGTTGCACCTATATTTTCATTGCTAAAGCACGCCATACCACACCCAGCGGTATGTGCAAATCACTTTATGCAGTAGTCTCCAGTTTCTGGTTGTCAAAAGCTGGAGAAATGCAATTTCCTGGTAGTGGAGCTTTGCTGCTGCTAAGCTGCATTATACTGGGATGTGATCCTACCTAGAACACTTTAGGGAAACCAGCCAATTTATATTTCCAAGACCCCAGAACAGTCTGTCTTTAAATCAAAGGCTGCAGCTGACTTTCTGGAACATTATACCACACCTAATTTTTTTCAAGAGAGCTTGGATGAGACCTGTGGCAAGAAAGGTAGCAAGTACTTTGTATTAGGGCATTTCTCTTTCTCAGGATTGTGGAGATTCTTAAAAAAATTTCAGTAGGTGCCCTAGGACCAGGCATCTATGGTTATAGTTGCTTCAGGTGCCATATTTGACAAGGAGGCGCCGCCCTTCCAACTACACCCAATGCTCCCTAAGAATTGCAAGCTGGTGACTATCTGCAGTAGTTCAAAGACCAAGTTGTGTGCTGTAAGACTGCTCAGAATTTTGTCACAGCCACAGTGCAGTGTTCTAGTTTTTGTGTGTGTACTAGTTTTTGGGTTGGATGAGTGCCCAGAATTCTGGTGTGGAGGAGAATGGGAGCATATCTAGGAGATACAGACCATTTAAGGTGCTAGCTGTGGCAACTAAGGACTAGAGGGAATGCAGGACATGGAGCTGATTATTAGTCAGCACCCGCCATCTTCCAGATTTACCACATCATTCCACCTTCCCTTCCTCATCCTGCCTGGGGCCTTGTTAGTGAACTAGAAGTTCTTGACAGACATGTGTGAGGGACTCGTGCTCTGATTACATAGCTGATTACCTTGCATAATCCCCAAGAATTCTGCTCCCCCACTTCCCATTCTCCATCAGCTGAGGAGGTGAGCCAGCTGCAATGGCTGTTTCAAGTTGGTATCCACATGCTTTCAGAGAGCAAACATAGCATGGGATTTTACTAACAATACTTGCATGAATATTGTTTATGCACATTAGGCATGACCCATATGATTTATGCACATTAGGCATGACCCGTATGATTTGTCAGCCTGTCTAGTTCTGTTCCCAGGATTCTTTTTCCAGTCATGGACTCAAAACCACTTAGGATCACCAGAAAAAAAGAAGTATTTTCATATCTGTGGTGGTGTAGCCACTCCTGGACAGTTCATTTACAAGGTGGGATGAAGCATGGAGTTTTGCGCAATTAGTGATTAGTCAGAGTTAGAGTTGTGATCTCAGAGTTAGGGACTAGCCCATGTGCAGCCATACTTTTTGCATGACATCGGGGAGGGGGAATTAAGAACATGTAAAACACATAATTTTTAGCAAAACAGTGTTAGCACATTGCAGGAGAAGTCTGGGAGTGTAAAGTCTGTCTTGGAGACAGTTTACTGGTGTTCTGCTGAAATAGCCCACCTCTTGTTCATCAGCTGTGAAACCGGGATCAAAATGTAGGCATGCTTCCAATGCAAGTGAGTTCTGCCTCTTTTTAGACTAATTTAAGTAGTCCCTATTAGATAACAGAATGGGCTATCCCTGGTACTATGTCATCAGTCCACTCCTGGTCTCTCCATAGAATCACAAGAAATTTCTGTTACCTCAGAAATGTCCAGCATGATGCTACTGGTCTTACATAATCATTTCAGATTCAAAACTTGGAATGATCGACCTCTTCACCTGTCTTCTACTAAAAGCAACCTGGAAATAAATGCAAAGGGAACACATAAGTAATAAATTAATTATTTTACAGTAGAGGAAAAGCAGCATGCTGCTGAGTTTAACAGATGTTTATACAGTGATCAGCCAGCAATCCATGAAACTGCATCATTGTTCACTTGAGCTAACGATGTCTTCTCTCCCACATACAGGGACAATTGTCCTTAGTTTTTCTGCTTTACTGTCCAGGTAGCCTTCCAAATAATCCTTCTTCTCAAGGGACAGACTCAAAAGAATGAACCCAGCCTATATAATCAAGCAGTAGAACTCCTGAGGATCAGACGACTCTCTGGGTTACATCTGAAAAATCAAGCACTGTACTGTGTATGTCCATATCCTAGGAAAAGTACATGGATTTTTTGTATGTGTGTTTTCCCTCCTCAGACACATCTGAGTGGGGACATCAAGCCAATCAGGAATGGACCGGATGCTACTCAGTCATTGGGTACCTCACTGAAGACACTGGCAAGACTTTTGGGGTGAAATCAGAGTCCTGGCTAAGAGGAGCATGAACGTACTTAGAGGACCTCAAGGACTGGAGAGACCGAGTGGCACCAAGTGACGCTCCACTGTCAGTTCCTGGAGCAGAAATTCTGTGAGAGGGAGATGGAAGATAGCTCCTGTTGGAGCATTTTGGCTCTGTGCCCTTCCCATTGCCAAATCAGCAGCCACTGAACCAACCTCTACTAGTGATGCGGAACGGAGGCCAACTTGAGTGTGAACCCTTCTCTTCCCTTCCTCTCCCCTAGGATGAGTGAGAATAGTTTGGCCTGCAGAATGCAAGAGCAGAAGAACACAACTCCACCTCTGTCTCTAGTGCCTTGACACAGGTCAAGAAATGCAGTGCAGAGAACAAGGATGGAGAAACCTGCTGAGGAAGGGTGCTGAGAAGGAGATACTTTGTGGAAATCTAGATCCCATTTCACTTAGATTCGTGTTATTGATTTGCTCTGATAAGGGAGAAGCATGTTGGCCTTCATTTCCTCCAAAATATATTTCCTAATCTCTTGAGGAAATATCTTTGGCCTTTATTGGCCTGTCTTTACTGTTTTCCTTGTTGCATGCTGGCATGTAATATGCCTGGGACTTTAGGTTTCACAACTGCTTGTAGGTCAAGACTGGCCACATTTTGCAGTGTTTCTGAAGGAATAAATATATTTAGTATGTTAAAGGTTTTCTTGCCGTTTTTAACTTTTTTTTGTTCCTTAACATTTTTAAGCTTTAACATTTTTAAGTCTCTCTCTTACTAGCTGGTTTCTTATGCAGTCAATGAGTATTTCACCATAAATTTGGGGCTTACATGCACAGTCCACCTTCTGCTATGTAAGAGTGTCAGCCACATGGCCTGCTATATCTCCTGAATGACTCTAAGCAGTGGATCCCAAATTCTCAGCTGGGAATAGCTGACCTTAAGCGTCTTCTTTGGTAGATCTGAAACATGCACCAGACTACCTCAGTATCTGTTCCATTTGATAGAGTGGTGGTAAGGGGATCCAATACACTTTTCTTTGAATGTCCCTTTTGAATGGCCTTGTTGGGAGCTAAATTTCAGTGGGACAGACCTACAGGAGTCAGTCTGTTGGCAACTGGGCACATGGAAAATCACCAGGATGGGAATCCTGACCTAGATGTGTTCCTCTCTGTAAGCAGGAGGAAGGCTCTGACTTGTCTGTGCAAGAGCTTGGCACTTGATCCTACATAGTTTTACACTGAGACATCCTGCAATAATGCAGATCTCAGTAATGTGTTTCTACCTCCCCACTGCTTCCTTAAACTTTCTTAGTTGATTGTTCTGTAATGGCTAATGTGTGTCTGCTTTCCTGCTTCCTCCTGTTACATGTGTACAGAAAACAGCAGTAACAATTTATAAGTTCTATGACATGAAAAGTATGCTTTTATGGTCCCTTTCTTCTGCCTGGAATTTCACATAAGAGAAAACACAATAGCCTGAGAGTGGCTGTGGGAATGAGTGGCCTAGACTGGACTGCACCTGCTCTTTATACTCAGTTTAACACCTCTTCATTCTGTATTTAGGCTTTTAAAATCTCTGATCTCCACAAGAGGGCATCTGTTGATTTTAATGAATGTCTAGATCTATTTAATATATAAATGCAGGTTGTTTGAGTCACTCCACATTATTACACTTAGGTCTGTGACTTAAAAATTTGTTCAGACTTGTCCTTTCATGCAGTTATCCAGAATGGAGACAGAGAATTGGTGTTTCTCCTAAGTAATGTAGCAACTGGAAATTAAGGTATGTATGCCAGTTCACCTGAATTCTGTTCCTAGGTGGAAAAACTAGTTGTGAATGAATAATATATGCTTATTGTTTCTGACTGCTACATAATAAAGCTATGCCTCAAGAAGTTAAGCCTGTGTGTAACAATAAGCATGATGATGTTGAATGCTTGCATTTCACAGAATGCTCAGGAGTCAGACTTCAGGATACTGTGTGATGCAGCCACTCTCACATTCATCATCCAGTGTAAGCAGTTGTTGTAGTGGATTGAGGGAAAATGGAACATCTGAGGAAGAGGAGAATGACAGGGTGGGTGTATGATCTCTAATAAACAGAGGCTACCCTCCCTGATTTTACCAGGTGCATTATTAAAACACATCTTCTTTGCCCTCTCCAGGAGCTGACGTGCTCACTTAAGGGCCCTCCAAAACAGGATTCAATGGTTCAGAGTATGTGGCTGGATGACAGTGACTGCACACCCAGTACTTCTAGCTCACCAGGTAAAAAAGAAAGAAAAATAAGAAAACCCTCTACTTACGCTTCTATAAGTGTTTGAGAGGTTGAGCCAAATCTTTTGTATGCTCTACTTAATATTTTAGAAGGACAGGTAGATGATAGCCCAGGAAAATGGGGAGAGAAGGTGCCATGCAAAGTTTAATTGGGAAAGAATAAATAGTGCTGTATATACTGCAAAAGGAGTTACAGTACAGTGCAAAGAATTAAAGTGTTCATGTCTTTCTGTGGAGAACTATGGTTGCATTTCTGATTGCAACAACTAGATAGTTTGGATATGGGATTAGTGGAGCTGCTTCCTGAACAAAGCAGTATGCTCCTGAGAAGGTGGGTAGTCAGGAAGCTAACCTACACTGAGACTTTTTTGTCAAGGTTGGGCTCTTAGTCTAGTACTTGATTAAAGCTGACGTAGTTGATTAAACTCAGTTTGGATCCATTCACTGTGCAGAGATGATTATAGTCCTTAGAAGTTCTCTTCAGTCCTGTAGCAGGGACACCTATTGTGTTTCCTGCTGTAGAGCTGGATCACCTGCCCTCATCTCAGACCCTGTTTGCAGTTGCATTTCACTTTTGTTAAAATGAACTGGTTTGGATTGAAGCATTTCTTGTTGAGCATCAGCCTTAGGCTAAAATTAGGGAAAGTTTAAATCAGTTTCAGTCTGTTTCTGATAATGAGGCTGTTTAAGATTTTGGGAAAGTATGATTGAAAAGACTAAACTTTTGAGTTTGGGAAGTCATTAGAAACTGTGAAAGCCAAAACATTTAACATTTGTTGCTGGAAGACTGGAATAGAAACTTGTTGAGGTGGTAAGAGATAGTAGGGATTATGTGTATGGCAAGGAAGAGCGTTGGTTGGAATGAACCATGAAATCTTTATAGGAATTGTGTGGAAAAGGATTGTTTGTAAAGATTACAAGGGTCAGAAGGTGGAATCAACTTACTTTGAGGATAGAGTTAGGTCTCATTCTCCACAGCTGCCATATATGAGATATCAGGAGTGGCTATCAGATAGATCCCTGCATAAAATTGTCTGTATCTTAGCAACAGCATTGGAGATGTAATACTGTCAGATATTCTGCAGAGATCTCTGTTCTGTCAGATACTCCTCTTTTGTTGTGTATGCTGGAGACAGGGATGCTTTCCATTGGCCTCTTCTGCTCTTCACACATAGAAATCTCTGTCTGCTGACCCTTTATTATCTTACAGTATATAAATCATTAATATGCATCACTGAGAATAATTGTTACAGAGAATGCAGTGTAAAGTTCAATGTGATTTTTAGGTTTTACAACCCTGGGGACAGCGAGCAGTATTCTGGTGGTTTAGTTTTGCCCTTTATTGAGTTAGCCAGTAAGTATTCAGCCACAGTTAATGCACTGTGTAGAGTCAGACCAAACTGATTTTTTTTTAAATGGAGAAACCTAAGACAAGCCCACTGTGAGTCTAGATCCTACAATGAATAAATCCAGCATTCCTGACCCATGTACACATTCTTGGCTTCTCCAATTTGCCTCTCAGATTGAGAGAGCAAAGTTACAGGGGAAAAAAAAAAGTCAGCAGTCTGTGGTCATTATGCTCCCAGATCATGACACAGAGAACTGCCTTTGCCAAAATGTTTTCTGAGTTGGCTTTAAAATACCAACATGTCTCATGTGCCAGTGCATGTCACATGAAGCAGAGGTGACTTTCTCCATAGCCTCAAGGGCAGGATAAAAATTCAGCTATAACTCTCCTTAACACTTAGACACTACCAGTTGTGTTAGGTATATTTTTATTTAGTTACTTGGCCTGTTAGTCACTTACTACAAAAAACATATATCATTATTAAATTTTAGCATAGTGGAACTGGGATATATACAAAATAGAGAAGAACTCTCATACTGTAAATTCATGTTGTTTAAAACAACAGTTTAGCAGCATTTGGTAGTGATTCACCAGTTTTGTTTTTAAATCTCAGTTTTAAACTACATAATGGCACTGGGAAAGAGGATAGTCTACTTTGGAAAAAATGCTGAAACAATAGTTGCATCTTATCTGTTTCCTAGAAAATACTGGTGTGATCACATATAAGTAAACAAAAAAAACCAAACAAAAACAAACAAACAAACAAACAAACAAAAAAAAACCACAAAAAACCCCCACCCAAACAAAAAAAAAGTGTTCCTGGGAAAAGCATCTGAGCTTACCATCTTACTGCAGAAATCCCTCATTAGCTTTCTTCACTTTCCTGATTGAATGGTGGTTAGATATGCCATCAGCAGTATTCATCTGCCCATTCTACCCCTTAGCACATTCCACTCTAAACTCTTTAATTCAAACTCTTTCCACTTTTCTCTGATTTAAAGAAAAGATTTAGTATTTTATAATACAGATTTATGTTGTGATGCAGCTATGCATAAACTCCCACAAACTGTACTGGTTGGAAATTACCATATTTTAACCATAAAATGGATAGAATGGAGGATCATGCAAGAGTAAATGTAGAATGGTTTAAGAAGCTGTTATGTTAAAGACATCTTACTAATTTTTTGGAGAATAGTGTATGGTGAATATAAGCTGATTACAGAAAGCAGAAGAATGCTTTTAATTTGTGCATTTTGCAAGCATTTAATCCCTGGTTTTGCCATGGTGCTGATATGTGATGAGAGGCAAATTCCTTAAACCCTGAGGTCATATGTGGGAATCTCAAGGAAGAGGTCAGAGGGAAAAGGAAGAGAAACACTGTGAGAGTGTAAGATTAGAGTCTGCTTCACAAATGTGTATCCTCGAGAATAAAGCATTCAGATTGTCTGGAACCAGTAGCTGATGACTATTTTTTAAATGAAATTAAAGCAGTCACATTCCTCATGTTTTGAGATGGAATGAGAAACAGGTGAGGGTAACACTAGTCAATTTGGGCATAGGTACACTCCTTTCACTCTTACCTGTGGAAGAGCCACAGATCTGTGAAAACCAATTTGGAGTAAAACCAGCTATGTGTGCAGCTCCTGGGATACCCACTTGATTATTTTTGTATTGTTCTGTGCTTGGTTCCCTTCTAGGAAGCAGGTTGCTTCCTTCCAGCAGTGTTGCTGGCTCCACTGGAAAAGGAAAAGGCAGCAAAGCAGAGACTCAGCACCATAATCCAGTAAGTGCTTTAATAAAACGTTTCCTTCTCGCTTGCACAGAGATAAGGATGGGAGAAAAGAGAGAGGCTTGATTTAGGAAGTGTTGCTTGCTGAGGGTTGAAAGGGCAGTAGGAAGGCGCTTGCAGGGGGAGGTTAAAGCAGTGCTTGTTCTGCAGGCCTCCATTTTGTGCTGTGTGTGATGTCAGCGCTGGAGCACTGTTTACTACACGCAGGGTGAGGAGCACAGGTAATGGACATGGGGGGAGGAGAGCCATGGGCCCCTGGCCATCCCTGCCTCTTTGAGACAATGCAACAAGTGCTATACAGCTTCTCTGGAAACAGTTAGTCCTTTACCTTCCTGCCTGAGTGATCTTCCATGGCCAGCAGCTCTGGGCTGTCTGATTTACCTAAGCGCTCCCTTTCCTGGCTGCCTTCTCCCTCTCAGGAAACAGCATGTCCCATTGAGATTCTGTTTTCTACCCTAATCTAGGCACAGGTTTTTTTTCTTTCTCTTCTTGTCTTTGATTGTTCAGTTTCCTTTGCTCAGATACAACCTACCTTTCTCTGTGCCTAACCTCTGCTTTTTCTAATAGTTCCATTACTTTACAGAACCCCTTTTTGTTGCTCATTTTCTGATGTTGTGCCTATCTGTACACTTGCTTATTTGCTTTCAGCCTATCATTGGTGGGACCTACTTGTCCATGCCAGTTTCACAGCTTTTCCAGACATGGGAAGTGGGACTTGATTTCCTGGTGAGGCCTGTAATAAGAGCAAAGGGGAACACAACTTCAGGTTTGTTCCCTAGAATTCATAGTCCAGTTTTGCCTGTGTTGTTGAGAGTCTTTTTGCTCAATGTACCTTTCCTTGCCCAGTATATTCTCTGGCCTGACAGCTAAACAGCTACCTTGAAAGTGGTGGGGATGTGAGGCTCTCAGGAGCCTCACATCGTTTGGTATGTGGCTGAGTAGAACAGGATCACCTTTATGTAATAAAATTCTTGCAGCCATTCCTAAACATTCCTAAATAGCTGCCCTGCCACCTTGTGGCATTCAGAGCAGTCAGGTGAACAGTTCAGCTCCATGTGGTCGTGGCCACTGGTGCCACAGCCGATCAGAGCGGGGAGCTGATACTCACCAGTGAGGCTGCTTCAGTGTGTGCTAGAACAAAGATCAGAACTGAACATGACAGTGCAGCTGCCAGCCACTGTTTACTGGGGTCATCCCCAGAGTGTTTGCCACGAGCTTGTGCTCACGTCATGGTTCTGTAACACAGGAGCAAGTTTGTCTAAATGAGGGGCAGAACTCCCTCAAAGTTCTGCTGCCAAACAGGCAAATTTTGCTCAGAATAGGTACAGGGTCAGAATTGCAACAGTCTGCAAACTCACTGATAAAAAGGCAAAGGCTGTGGTTTTGCATTTACTCTTGGCTATTACAGGCAATAAGCAATGTATCTCAGTAGTACTCAAGTATGATTTTAGTACCTCAGGTTTTGAGCATTTAATTTCCACTGATTTGAAGTAGGTCAAAGATGTTTAAGATAATTTCATGAAATGTATTGCATTCTGTAGGATCCATGTCTTTTGGTCCATCTGCCAAATCAACAACATTCTGCCACAAAGTCATTTTATTTGTCAGTTGATCTGGTTCAAAGAACAAAGTTTCATGAGACCCTGCTTTTCACGGTGAGATTATTTCCAGATGTTCTTTGAATTCTCACCAGCTCCTTACCAGAGTACATTATTTCCACAAAAGGGCATTTTACCCACTTCTGAGATAGCACTGCTGGCTTAAAGTGATGTTTTAGTCATTCCATTTTATCACAACCTCTGAATCAGTTTGATAGCACAGACTGGAGACTAGCAAGTTTCAGGGGAAAAATTGTAAAAAATTTCTGTAACATGGCTTCAAGGGACTCAAAGAAACCTATGGCACCCAAATCCATGGTAGCCTCCTTGTCATTCTAACTCCTCTTATCTCTCACAAAGATTTCCTTCAGTTGCAGGCTGGATTTGCCCAAAGACTAATGGGTGCACTGGTAAAAAGGAGGAAGGACTCTTCCAATCCTAGGGTATTCCTGAAGAGCTGAAAGAAAGAAAAATTGTGGATGGGGGAACCAATGATACTCCCACAACACTTAGAGCTGTAAGAACATGAAGGATACAGATTTTTTTTTTTCTGATGCTTTGTTTTAGGAATTGCTGTTCAAGTGAAAATACACAAATATGCTTTACCTTAAAAAGACAAAAAAGTGAATTCCAGCTGCTGCTGTTTCATTTGGTGATGCATGAGAGAGTGTGGAATCATGCAGAAATCAAACTTCATATAAATCAAATTTCTGTGTGTCATTCCAATTCAGCCACTACAGGGCCAAGCTCAAAGTGTTTCCATGTAGAATTTCTTATTTTAATTGTTTGCATACCTTTCCCTCTGCAGACTACATGCTTGGAAGTCCCCCACAGCCATATCCAAATCACCTTTGGATAGGCAGAATTAGGGCATCCTTGAGGAAGCAAAACAGAGTCTACTTCAGTTACCAGCTGAACCTACAGCAGTGTTCCCCACCATACTCCAACGACATTCCTGTAAAACTTGCATTAGTTAAAAACCCCTACAGGGTTTGGGGTTGGTGCCCACAAATGCACGTGTGTGGTGGTTTCCTCAAATATCAGTCACTGCAGAGCAAGGTGTATCAAATATTGTCCAGGATGGGGACAGCTCCTTTTAAAATACTTGATTGGTTCCCTAGACTCTACTTTGGGCTTGAATTGTGTCCTTTCCAGCTGCCATGATGCAGAGTAAAAGGAAGCATTAATATCTTACCCTGTGCTTCTTATGTCTGTGTAGTACACTGGACTTAAAATAAAAGGAGAATGTGGCCAGCTTCTCTTAGTATTTGTGTGTGTGTGTTTATAAAGGACAAGCAGGAAGATGTGAAAAACCCAGAGATCGCAGTCCAGTGACTATGTAATCCTCATGGTTTTAGGGTAAAGGAAAGAAAACCAACCAGGGAAGGAGAATGTTCACTCTGCAAGAAGTTAAATCTTTAATATTAATCTTTGATCTGTTGAAAGAAAGGAAGCACATTTGTATGGGTAAGCACCTCACCAGGCTGGTAATACTGGCAAACGTTGGTATGTTTTTCAAAATTAGAGATGAGATCAAGCAGTAAAGTTAACTTAAGGATGAGAAAGCCGTCTCTCCATAAAATTGAATACATTAAGATAACCACTGAAGACTGACATATATATTTTCCTTCCTATATGTTTCCCCTGGACTTTTCACAGCTTGGGGCTTGGAACTGGTCCCAGCCATTTTTCACCTGTAAGACAAACCAGCATAAGAGAGATATGTTAAAATGTAATCCATTCAAGTAATTGGCCAGTCATTTTTCTGCAGCAGGATTACTGTTCCCACTCTTGTGAAAGGTAACTACTGGTGATGGAATATGGATTTATATCTTGTTTGGTGTGCTTCAGCCAGCTCCATAAATCTTTCACTGTCTAGTCACAACTGAAACTGTACGGAAGAATTATTTTCCTCCATTACAGATGAGACATTCTGCAGGTCAGGGGTATTCCACATGAAGGAGAAATCAGTTCTTTTTAGGACTCACTTTTTGGGGGAACTGGGGGTTAAAAAAAGGGTACAAGGCTGCAGAGTCAGAGAATCAAAAAGAAAATCTGATTAAGTCCTTGGAGTTGAGACTAGAAACCAGGCCACAATGTTCCAGCCAGTATTAGTGACTGCTGTAGTGGTAGTTGGGTACTCTGCTTCCTCACTCTCATGTTCATCAAGAATATTTTGTAGAATCAGAAACTCATCCAGAAGACTAAAAAGAAAAAACTTCAAAAAATTTCCATTCTGCGTAAGCCTATGACTAATACTGATTTGCATTAATACTTTCTGCTGAATGTTTTCCACAAATGCATGAGCTAATTATGTGCATAACTCTTTCTAGAGACATTCTCTCAAGTGCTAAATCTTGAGATGAATAGTCAAATGCCCTCTAACTCATAAAAACCAGTGACTTTAGTTTTATTATTTATCACTAGCTGCTTCAATCTCTTAAAGAATTTAAAGTGTGTATTCTGTTAATAGAAAAATGAAAAGAAGGATGGTCAATATATGAACAACCTAAACAGCTGTGTAGGTAGACACAAGTTATGGATTGGGGAGCTGTAATAATGTGCTTTTACTAAGAAGGAACAGATATAAAATGAAAATGTTAGAATGACAAAAAAAAAAAAAAAGTACCAGCCATAGTCATAATCTTAGCCAAGGCCTACTGTCCAGTACCAAAAGGTTACATATGAATATTTTGAGAATGGCACATGGACCACAAAGCCTTGAAACACACAAAGAGAGGGTGTGAGAGAGAGAGAGAGAGAGAACTCAAGTTACTTCTGGTCTGGAAAAAGATAATTTGGTAATTTTAAGTGTACTGAGACAGATTTCAGGCAGCAGTTTCATTCCAGAAGAAGGAAGAAATAACCAACATTATTTAACATTTGAAAGCCCTTAAGAATGTTTTACTCAGCTGCATTACGTATTTTGTTCTAAGAGGGTGAAAGCATGAAACCAAAGTGATGAAATGAGGTAGACTCACCTATAACACTGCCTAGCAGCTCTAAACGATCAGAGCCAAAAAAGAGATGAGGTTCCCCATCATAATGTGCCACAACAGCAGGCATCCCAAATGCCTATTGACACCATGGAGATGAAACAGAGAATGTTATAATGGGAGAATTGCTTGCAGTCATATCATCAATCTTTGGGAATAAGTCCCCACAATTTTTAATTTTTTCCCTCCCCTTCTTTTTACCTTCTTCATTCTTAAAGATAAGCCTAATGAAGCCATCTGAAAGTAGGTGACTCTCCAGAGCCTGTGTGCCCCTTTTGAAGGAGCATAAAAAGCAACCTGATTAATCCACAGTTCTATTTCAAGAAGCAATAAATGGTATCTCTCAGTACTGGTCCTGTCCTTGCTGTCCAGCTGGAATGAGTGGGTCAACTTTATTTTCCCAGATGACAGTGAGATAAACTACCAACAACAGTGAGGTGGCTTTCACACACTGGAAAAGAATTAGTGCTTTCTAATCATCACCCTCATTGTTCCCTGCTTCCCTGTATTCTTAAGAGGGAAGGAATGCACAGCTGTAAAGCCCAGTGCCATTGCAAACATCTCACCCCATATTTCAGTGCTTCAGTTGTTGTGTCTTTCAGTCGGTCCTTCACTGTAGGGGATGAAATCATTTCAAGTGCCTTCTGGGAGAGCTCTGCTGAGAGTCCAGCCTGTCGGGCAACCTGTGAAAAGATGATATAATTAAGAATACTCTAAAAGTATATATTCTAATTCCTACCCTGGTCTAATTAATTTAATCTTCAGGATTATTATGTAAGGTCTAGTGACAAATTCAAAATATTCTTGAAGCACTTCTTGCACAACTGTCTTGCTGTATTCCCAACTTATTCATCATTTAACAACTCTCAGATACAAAGTAGAAGAGACATTTTAAATCTTCCAAGCCCCAGATCTGCACTTTTTTTCCCAGGAGTTCCTAAACCGAAGAAAAAAAAAGAATCTTTGATACAACGACTCATCAGATAACTTACAAAAAACCTCAAACTGGTGTTATGGAAAATAAAATCTCTCTGTACAAGCCTACCAAGACTTAAACAGTTTGTGTTACAAATGTGTCCACATGGATCTGTAAGTAACACTGCATGAAAGACACTAAATCACAGAGGTTTAACAGTTACTGGTGTTACTCTGCCACACAGGAATGAGACAAAGTAGCCAAACTTAAATGTCCCATGTTTATCTGGTAACAATAACTTACAAATACTCTTTGAATAAAGTCCTTCAAACAAAAGAAAAAAAAAAGGAAAAAAAAGAGAAGAATTGTAGTATTTCACATGGAGAAGTAATCCTGCACATGTAACTGTTAATGAGTCTTTATTTCAATTTTTTTTTTTTTTTTTTTTTTTTTTTTTTTTTGTTTAGCACCCACATTTTCACGTGTCTTCCCCTACGAACACATCAGGGAAATGAGGAGCTCTTTTGGACTGTGCTTGAACAGGAGGTTAAACAAGTGTACCACTGGATTAGAACAAAATGCTTGGTAGCAACAGTGTTTAGACAGTGATGTAGTATTTGGTCCTCACCATTTCAGGGCAGAAAGAGGATTTAAGTGGACTAGGGAAGAATTCAGATCACACATTGCTGATATAGCAATTTATGTGAAGCTGCTTTTGATTAAATAAAGAAGTAAAAACTACTAAGGCATTATTATCCAGTTTTAAAAGTACCATTTTTCTAACTGCTGTGTAAAATAAATCTAAAAAGACTCAGATGATTGGCTGGGACCTCTCAGCCACCTTTGGATGACAGATTTCCAGAACAGTCTAATACTTGTTGCAGGGGTGAATGAAGACAGGCACAAGCAGACAAGGGGACACCTCCTTCTATGCCTTGATGAAAAAGAGGGATACTCATTGACTGCCAAACTGTGACTAAATTAGAGATTGTTCTGAGTATGAACTTTTTGGCGCTGAATTTCTGCATGTCCTTGCTTTATTGAAATACTGATGAATTCAGAGAAAATGTGACAACGTTCTATATATATTTATGTACTGGGTCTAGCAGGAATGGAGCTACTTTGCTTCACAGCAGCTCCTGTGGTTTTGTGTTTCAGATCTGTGACCAAAACAATGCTGATAACATCCCAATAATTTTAACTCTTGATGAATAGTGCTTGCACAGTGTCAAGGCAGTCTCTGGTTCTCACTCTATCCCCACAGTGAATAAACTGGGGCTTCACCAGAGGCTGGGAGGTGACCTGGACTAACCCAGGAGACAGACCATGCCACATGCCATGCTCAGCAGTAATTCATGAGGAGGGGGTTTAGGCAGGTTAACCTTTTTCTTGGGAACTGGCTGAGCATCAGTCTACGTGTAGGTGGTTCTTTGTTTTCTTTCACTCTGTTTCCACTTCTCTTTTGCTTATTAAGTAATTTTATCTCAATGCACAAGTTTTCTGGCTTTTATTCCTCTTTTCCTCTTCCCCTTTCCTCCTGGGCAGTGGGAGGAAGCAAGTAAGCATCTGTGTGGTGCTTGACTGCCTACCAGAGTAAAAGTACCACTTTAATTATATCTTTAGCTATAAAGATAGTTAATTAATTAAATTATGTCTTTAAATAAAGAATAACTTCAATTATATCCTTCAAATTTTGCTTCTTAAAAAGGCAAAGTGCAAACCTTTGGTAAAAAAGCTACACTAAGATGAAGCTGAAGTGCAAGAACTAGACTTGGAGGGGAACAGCAAGACTGCAAGCTTCAGATTTCAGCTAGGGATGTTGGATAGGAGAGACTAGTCATGGACAACTCCTCTCTTTTCTTCATATTCCAAGAACTTATAAAATAATTAAGAAAGGAGAGACCTTCAAGAGGATCTACTGGTATTGTAACTTACATGCTATTACAGCTTTTACTGTAATAAACAAAATCAAAATGGCAAAAGAAAATATATTAAGAGTATAATTTCCAGGTATATAAAAGGGAAATATAGCACTGAGCTTAATAGAAAACTTGACTCCATCACTCTAAGGAAAGTCACTTTCCCCAAGTGTTGCATTGCACCTGAACATTTCATGTAAGAGCAATGCCTCAATGCATTCTGCAGAAACTATTTATACTTTCATACTGTTAATAAAACAGTATCAACAGGTAACTCATTGTCCAGCCCGGGTATCTTGCCACATAAATTAACAAAAAAAAAGTGTATTCTGGTTCTGAGTATTATGTAAAAATACCCAAAAAAATCCAAACAGAGCTGCAAGGGAATTTAAATCCATTTTTCTTCAAAGTCATCAATAAGAA